GCCTGAATACGGTGTTAATGCCTAAAGCCCATTTACACATTGACAATTGAAACGGCAATTTATGGCAGTTTTACATTCCTCCATGGTCAACGAGCAATGCCTAAAGCCCCATTTACACATTGACAATTGAAACGGCAATTTATGGCAGTTTTACATTCCACCATGGTCAACGAGCATTGACTAAAGCCCCATTTACACTTTGACAATTAAAACAGCAATTTATGGCAGTTGTACATTCCGCCATGGTCCACGAGCAATGCGTAAAGCCCCATTTACACATTGACAATTGAAACGGCAATTTATGGCAGTTGTACATTCCGTCATGGTCAACGAACAACGTGTTGACACATTAGTTGGGTTGACACAGTACTTGCTCAACTTAAGAATTAGGTTGAAAACTTAATCATCTACGATTAGGTTGCTAATCATCAATGATTAGTGCCGTATAGATGCACTAAAAAATTAGCAATTTTTAAGTTTAGTTGAAAAATCAGACTCCAAAATTTCTTAGAGTTTACGCTCAATTCACGAGCAGCGGGGGGTCCGCAGTCTATCATTAGGGACCTTTAGATTGAGTGGACGAGAACACGAGGAACGCCGACTGATCATGCGTGTCAACTACTTAACTGCCCATGTTGACTACAATTAGAAATCTTTTAGATTGCACTCGACGATATACATGCATGTAGGAAGTAATACTATGAACATCACGGACAAAGAAAGAAGATAAAATATACAGTTCCTCATTTTACCCTCAACAGAAGAACATCCCTTCACTGCTATTATGTAAAAATGTGTAGAACAGGTGACTATGCATGTGACACCTGTTCTACACATTTTTACATAATAGCAGGGAAGGGATGTTCCTTTGTCTACCTGAGGAACTGTATATTTTATGCGCACGCGGCATACTAGTACCTTGAGCATGTAAAGGCGCTATAAAAATACCAATATGTATGTATGTATGTACTAGATTTAGGAAAATCAAGGTTGACGCATTCTCGATCGCCGACTGAGACGACGTAACGCATGCGCAGTGCCTTGAAATGACGTCACACGTTGCAGTCAAAGCTGTAGACGTGCAAATCTAAAAGTCCCTATTATCCCGTGTGGACGTAATTTAATCAATGAGCTCCACGATTAGCGTGACCTCTCCGTCAACCCTCTGTGCGTCCCTGTAGCTGGGATTATCTCGGCACTTCCGGCCAATGATTGATTGGGAGGGTTGCTTAAAAACTTAATCTTAAACATAAGTTTTCGTGTGGACGCTCATTATTTATGGGGTAAGCTCTTATTGATGATTAGCAATTGTCGATGATTAGGTACTGTTTAAATGTAACTATTGTAGGACATTAGAGGCCTGCTGTTGTGGAGGAACGTGGGACAGATTTATTGCTTTAAAGGTAGGCGTGAATTAGATCTCTAAATTTGAATCTTACAACAACAAAAAACAAAAAAAATGTTATACAATTTTGATAATAGCTAGGTAGCTTCCAAAGAATGAATGGAATCTTGATACATATTTGTACTGCCTTCATGCTATCTGAAAGAAAAGTATCAGGTTGGATAATTAATGTAGGTGACCTTTGGGAAAATCAATTCTAGCATATTAATTTAGCATGAAAAGTGCATACGGTAAGTAGTGTTTTGTCAAGCCCAGGGCCCCGTTGCATAAAACTATTGTATCTTAACAATTTATGGTATCTGTGCAAACTATGGTTATTACCATAGCAACACTGCTTGATAGCTAATCAAAATCAAGAAATCAATGGTATTTACCATAGTTTGCAGAGATACCATTAATTGTAAAGATACAATAGTTTTATGCAATGGGGCCTTGATGGTCGATATGTATGAAATACTAAATTGTTATAATGAGTTGGACTGTATTATGAAATGTTTGAGTGACATCAAAGTATGCAAATTAGTTGTTACCAAAGTTGAATTTGTGATGGAATCTAACTTGGTTTTATTCATTTTTTTGTATTGTATATTTTGTCATGTTTTACTTGTATTTTTCATTTTTTGTTTTGATGACAGGTGCCATCTGCCATTTGGACTTTGACTGAATAAAGTTTTTGGAGTGTAGGTATACCGAGTGTCTGAAACAAAAGTTGACACTTTTGAATATTCTGCCAAATAAAAAATGTGAAACATTTTTGAGAAATTGTCATATGTATGGATGGTTGAAGCTCTCGTCTATCATATGGCAATAACAAATCTAATAATAATTGTTTCTTGGGTAAGCACTGGCCACTTTTGTAAAGGGTATGAAAATTAGGTTGCGCAAGATTTGGCTGAGCGAGAAGTCCCCCAGCATAACAATTGTTAATGGTCTGTTCAATTTATGATTAATTACGATGGATATGGGTTTGGGCTGTGTATGATGTGTCCCACCTCTTGCCCCACCCCACCCAACTACATTTAAAGGAGAATGAAACCCTGATTTTTAGTCTTAGGCCAAAAAAAAAAAAATTGTTCGGTTGTCCTCGATTGCTTTTCTAGAGTAGGGGCGGGCGGGCGGATTTTTTTTTTTTTTTTTTTTTTTTTTTTAAATTCATTTTTTGTGTGTATTTTTTTTATTTTTATTTTTTTTATTTTTTTTTCTTTGAAATACAGCACCTTTTAAATCTCCATTGTACTACTTATAGCTACTTGCGCCCTCTTTGTAGCAAACAATGCCTAATCGGTGACCATTGGTCCCCATGATCCTCTTTATCTTATATTAACTGAGAGCTGATTTGATGAGATAACCACCTGTCCAGTGACCTTGCAGGGTGGTCTAATCCCTCCTGTAAACTAGTACAGATGGGGTTTAAAATGAGTTTAAGATTTGAATGAACGGCATTTTGACATAGAAAAATAAAAATGGCAAGTTTAATAAATACCTAATTGCGTACTGAAAAGATCAAACTGGCAACGGGACGCATTTTGATCCTTGCAAATGCATAAAATGGTATGTTTGGCATTTAAGATTGCTCCCCCCCCCCCAAAAAAAAAAAAATGAAAAAAAAAAATGAAAAAATGAAAAAAAAGAAAACAAAATTGAATTAAAAAAAAAAAAATACGAGCGGCCCGAAAATGACGAGCGGGCGGTCGAGGACAACCAAACAACTTTTTTTTTTTGGCCTTATTGTGTTAATCAAAAGTTAAATAATTATTATTCAGGTACAGAAATTATGCTTGCACAACAACTGCAAGCGAAACCAGAGCCGCATGAAGATCCCCTACTATGCGGTTGTCTGCTTCAACAGGAGGTTCCACTGTACTAAAAAAAAAAAAAAATTCATGAGGTCATTTTGCTGGTCTCAACTATTTTATTTCTTTGGGTTTTTTTGGGGCTAATATAACAAGGTAATTTTTATGGTCCCAAGGGCTTTGTTATAATGAGATTTTACTGTATATCAAAACAAGCGTTGTGTATATCAAAACATTTAAAATGGGCCTAAATTATACTGCCCTACTTTGGCAAAAGGAAGCAAGTGACATACCATCTAAATTTGAGTTATTTATGTTTTTATATCTGCAAATGACAGACACATTTTGTTTCTTTACAAGACATTTCACGACTCACGACAATAAGCCTCTAGCACTCTAAAGCTAGTTGGTGAGTCAAAGAAGAGTTGTGGTATACAACACCTTGTCTGTGTGCGGGCAACTCACGACAATAACCCTAGCACTCTTAAGCTAGTTGGTGAGTCAAAGAAGAGTTGTGGTGGACAGTCAGGGAAAGTCTGTGTACGGGAAACTCACGACAATAAGCCTCTAGCACTCTAAAGCTAGTTGGTGAGACAAAGAAGAGTTGTGGTAGACAGCACCTTGTCTGTGTGCGGGCAACTCACGACAATAAGCCTCTAGCACTCTTAAGCTAGTTGGTGAGTCAAAGAAGAGTTGTGGTAGACAGTCAGGGAAAGTCTGTGTGCGGGCAACTCACGTCCATAAGCTTCTAGCACTCTAAAGCTAGTTGGTGAGTCAAAGAAGAGTTGTGGTAGACAGCACCTTGTCTGTGTGCGGGCAACTCACGACAATAAGCCTCTAGCACTCTTAAGCTAGTTGGTGAGTCAAAGAAGAGTTGTGGTAGACAGTCAGGGAAGTCTGTGTGCGGGCAACTCACGACAATAAGCCTCTAGCATTGTGGTAGACAGCAAAACATTTTACAGCTTTGACAATATTTACGACTTGAACTTTGAACTTTTGTCACTTGCTTCCTTTTGCCAAAGTAGGACAGTATAATCTAATACAATACATATGCTATCAACTTTTTTTCTTGTGTTTCTCTTTGACAGGTACTGGTTGAAGCAGATTTCATTATCATCTCCATCTCATCTCATACCATCTCATCTCATACCATTTCATCTTCACCCACAAAACTCATAATCTTGAGTTTTTGAGAAAAGCACTCATTCAAACCTTCATCTATCATAAAGTCTGTGTGCGGGCAACTCACGACAATAACCCTAGCACTCTTAAGCTTTGGTGAGTCAAAGAAGAGTTGTGGTATACAGCACCTTGTCTGTGTGCGGGCAACTCACGACAATAACCCTAGCACTCTTAAGCTTTGGTGAGTCAAAGAAGAGTTGTGGTAGACAGTCAGGGAAAGTCTGTTTGCGGGCAATTCACGACAATAAGCCTCTAGCACTCTTAAGCTAGGTTGGTGAGTCAAAGAAGAGTTGTGGTAGACAGCAACTTGTCTGTGTGCGGGCAACTCACGACAATAACCCTAGCACTCTTAAGCTTTGGTGAGTCAAAGAAGAGTTGTGGTAGACAGTCAGGAAATTTTACAATTTTGAACATATTGACGAATTTACGAACTTGAACATTTGAATCCTTCATTATCTTACTCTATCTACTCAATCTGAATCTTCATTATCTTACTCTGTCTACTCAATCTGAATCTTTATTATCTTACTCTATCTACTCAATCTGAATCTTCATTATCTTACTCTATCTACTCAATCTGAATCTTCATTATCTTACTCTTTCTACTCAATCTGAATCTTCATTATCTTACTCTATCTACTCAATCTGAATCTTCATTATCTTACTCTGTCTACTCAATCTGAATCTTTATTATCTTACTCTATCTACTCAATCTGAATCTTCATTATCTTACTCTATCTACTCAATCTGAATCTTCATTATCTTACTCTATCTACTCAATCTGAATCTTTATTATCTTACTCTATCTACTCAATCTGAATCTTCATTATCTTACTCTGTCTTACTGAAACTCAATCTTGATCTTACTCTGTCTTTCTGAAATTGAATCTTCAATTTCTGTGTTGTGTTGCTCAAACTGTGTGAAATTGTGTGAAAACTAGAAAATAAGATACGAAACGAGATTTGACAAGAGTGTTAATAAACAATAAAGAGAAGAAAATTTCTTTTTGAGTTGATTTTTAGTGAAAGAAATAAAGCTGACTGGTTGATTGCTTGTTTAAGATATTGGAGAAAATTGTTAGTGTATAGAGAAAAAAAAGTGAATTGATTGAATAACTGAATTGTTAGAAATTGATTGTGAGAGATAGAGATATTTTTGATTGGTTGGTTGATTGAGTGATTTGATAAAAGTGAAATTCGTGAATATTACCTTTAGCATATAAGGTTGAATATAGAAACATAACTTTAAGACCAACAAGAGTGTTAATAAACAATAAATAAAAGAAAATTTCTTTTTTGAGTTGATTTTTAGTGAAAGAAATAAAGTTGACTGGTTGATTGCTTGTTTAAGATATTGGAGAAAATTGTACAGAGAAAAAAAAGTGTATTGATTGAATAACTGAATTGGTAGAAATCGATTGTGAGAGAGATATTTTTGATTGGTTGGTTGATTGAGTGATTTGATAAAAGTAAAATTTGTGAATATTACCTCTAGCATATAAGGTTGAATTTAGAAACATAACTTTAAGACCAACTAAGGCAAAACTAGAACACTTCGTACTAGCAGAGAGAAAGTAGAGGAATTACACGATAAAAATAACAGAACACAGAAATTTATTTTAAAGAGCGCCATCTTGAGGCAAAAACAATACTTCCAAACACATCGTAAACAGAAATTTAGTTACATCGAGGTATTAATTTATTTTGGTCTTTACTGAGACGACGGTTTGAAGAACACATTCTACTTTTGTATTGATATAGGGTTGTATAAAAGTGTTGATTGATAAAGAAAGAAATTTGTGTCTGGATATAGGCTCCTGTAGTGTTCATAGCTTTAGTATTATAAGTAAGCCGATTGCAGAGAGGTTGAGAACGAACATTGTATCGGGATATAAATATAGTTTTATAAATATAAATCGGCTTGATCGATTAGAAAGATAATAAGAAAAATATTTAAATTAGGATATAAAGTGGACTTTTTTTACACAGAGTTTTAATACAGATTGTTGTTAATAGAGCGCCATCACAAGGCAAATTAATATAATAAAGAGAAATTCCGTCACGATCAATACCTTCTAGATTAATATTTAACACAATTGCCGAAGAGCGCCATCTTTTGTTGAAAGCTATATATTTTTCTAGGCATTAATTTTCATTTTTGTTAAAAGGAAATAATTCCAAGAAGGAATACAGTATTGACAAGATATTGCATTGTCTATTATACAAAATACAACATACATTGACCTATAATCCATACATTTAACTTTAAAAAATAAAGAAATCCCCCCAAAAGCAAACACTTTGAACAGCAAATCAAAGACCATTACAAGGCAATTTGAGGTGATCAAGACATTACAGCTCGAATAGAAGGCTTCCTCTAAAGGAGTTTTTATCTTGAAACAAAAACATAATAGTCTGTATATAGTTCAGGCTTTGATATACACTGAATTTCAGTAAAGATTTTGAATTGATATTGACAACAGTGATACTTCAAATTACAATTGTGCATCATAATTTGAATACAGATACACTGTATAAGATAATTTGGAACGGAAAACCTTGTCTTGGCAAAAAAGCAAAAGGGCAGTTGTAATCTTATAGTTCAAAGCTTTGTACGAAATATTTTGTGATGGAGGAATACACTGATACATGTTGTGTTTGTAAGAATTTAATTGGAGAGGATGAGATTACTGTAACTTGCAAGTCATGTACTGGTCCCTATCATGTTACTTGTATGGGTTTTCCATGTAAGGAGACAATCAATGACACAAATGATAGAAGATTGATAGACACTACTGAATTCAAGACAGTTGTTGATGAAATCTTAGATGTACTGTCTACTTGTGCACCGCTGATGAATTCAGAGTTTGATGCATGCTGCATATGTGAAAGTGAGATCGGAAATGACATAAGTTCACTTTGTGAGTTTTGCAATAGTCATTTTCATGTTTCATGTATGCAACTGCCCTGTGAAGACAAACTGAATGATAGGAGATTGATTTGGATTTGTTCTTTGTGTGGAAATAACAACATCGCTCATCGCATGTTTGATCAAGTATGTATCCCTTCTCATTTCAATAGATACGAACTTCTTGGTGATCATGATGAACACTGTTACTTGGATTTGAACCAATCAAGGACCCTATCAAGTACGACCAACAAAAGAAAATGTGGCAGATCAAAGAAGAGGTATGGTAAAAAGGGAAAAAAAAACAATCGATTGAGAGGAACACAACATCATATAACTGACAGGAAAACAAATGAGTCTGATAGACATAATCCTTTGGCTATGGAAAATCCATCCCAAATAGAACACGAAGAGATGCAAAATGAAAAATTTGAGGATGACTGGGTAATTGTGAAATCAAGGAAGACGAAATGGGTGGAGAAACTAAAATCAAGAAAATTGTATCCCAAATCAATAGATGATCATCAAACAGACAGGAAAATCAGAAGAAAATCAGTGAATGGTGTAGTCTTGGAACCAGGTGTGACTTACATTGGCAAAGCAATGAAGACATTCTATGAAAGTCATGAGAAAAAAAATGGAAACCGAAAGAAAAATGTATGTAAGGAAAACAAGAATGTGAAAAGAGAAGATGTCAGTTTGCAGTCTTATGTAGAAACTCTTTTGGCTATATATGCATACAGTGTGCAATCCCCATGTTCAATGAAATTGTACAGTGAGACCTGTGTGCAAATTGAAACGATGCAGACACGATCTTGGGCTGACGTAGCAGGTTATTTGCCATCTCGATCAAGAACAGATTCATGTGTTGATATTCATGCCTGCACTCGTAATCTTTTTGAACAGATCAAGGATTTCCGAATGTACAGAGTTCATGCTGGTGGCAAGAGAAAAGAAGCAAAGAACAAGAAAGGTCGAGCAAGGAACAAGAAAGGTCAGTCTTCCAAAGCCGGGAAAAAAGGCACTGATGGAAATCACTCTTCTGATAAATCAGAGATTAGATTTGACAAAGATGAAGGAATAGAATTAGCAGTAAAGAATGAGAAGCTGGATACAAAGAAATCTATGAATGCAAGTGACCAAGGCCTTGATCCAAATACATGTAAAAATGATGAACACTCAGACCAGCATATTTGCAATATGAAAGACAACAAAGGTTCAGATGGAGTTGTGCAGGACGATTCAAAGAATAATCTGTTGAAATCAAATTTTGATGAAAATAGGGAAATTGAAACAGACGATGATAGTGGCAGTGATGTTCACATACCAGTGAAACGTTCGTGTGCAAGAAATTGTTTAGAATCTGATAGTGATACAGACACAAGTCCTGGATGTGATTTATTCGATAGAAGTGTTTTACCACAACGCAATATGCCTTTGAATGTTAGTGATAGACCAAAAGATATGCCCATAAATGAACCAGTAGACAATGTCTGTGAATCGGTATTGGAAAATGATGATATGATGAAAAATGATTTTTCAGATGTTTCAGATGGTGTACAAGAAGATGCAGTGTTTGACAATGACCTGAAGAATAGAAGCTTTGATACAGTAAAAGATGGTACAGACAATGATACTGATATGTCATTTAATGATCATGCTCATTCAAGGAATCCTTTAGAATCTTCTTCAGATTCAAATATCAAAGATGAAGACATTGAAAAGGCAATAGATGCTAATATGTACACATGTACTGATGAAACAGAAACAGAAGTTGAATTTGTAGCAGATCTTGGATTACGTGATAGACCTGATAAAGATTTCAAATTTGTACCCCTCCAGAATAATGACAAACAGAACATTTGTTCAAAACTGAATATCAGATATATAGGCAAAGGCTGTGATTCAAGGTTAGATAGAAATAGCTCTATTGGAGTTCCTTTACAGAGTAAACAAATTACTGGTGATGGCAATTGTTTCTTTCGTGCAATTTCCTATGTAATTTCTGGAACTGAGCATAATCATGCAATTTTAAGAAATGCCACTGTGAAACATTTATTGCAAACCAAGGACATGTTTAGTAATACATTGAGGCAAGAATATAGAACAGTCAGAGAATATGTTTTGAAACGTAGAATAAAGGAAGACGGAACGTGGGCTACAGACACTGAAATTAGCGCTTTAGCAAATTTAATCGATACTGATATTTATTCATACAATGACCAAGTACCATGTTGGCAATTGTTCTCTGCAAAGAAACCTGGAAGAATAAATATTGTAACATCTGATAAGGGAATTTATATACTGTACACAGGAAATGTTCATTTTAATGTTGTTGAATCTGTAGATTTTGTCAATTTCAATTCATTGGAACAGACAAGAACAACTAAAGAAGATAGAACGTCAAAGAGAACTTTGCCATGTCCATCAATTCAGGCTGATGTTAAAGTAAAGCATGTGTTCAAGAAGTGTAGATCCAAGTCGCAGATAGAGGAAGAAATTGATGAAGTAGTGGATAAGTCTCCTGAAACATTTCAAAACCATGTTGATCCAAAGGGAAAAAAACGTAGGCTCACGTTGGAGACTGGTACGATAAATCACGATGAGAGGAAAGGTACTGCAAATCTTTTTGACATGACATATGAACAGTGTGCAAGTAATCAGTCTGAATCAGTCGTTCACAACGAACGTAACACCAAGGACGAAACCCTTAAAAGTGATCACAAAGACAAATGCACGAGAGTCGATACACAAATAACGCTTGTTGCCCAAGGGACATTCAATCAAGGTGATACAAGATTTGGTGACTTAAGTGGAAAGCAGTGTGTTACCAATTCACTTTCTGCACTGTTGTATAGCAAGGTAAAAAATGTCAATGATTGGAAAAGTACAGATCTAGACAGGATTTTGAATAACGGTAATGAATTATACTGTTACATACGGCGATCCACTTCACTCGACAACCAATACTTATTGATATCTGATCTATTTGAATATTTGGATGCGTACAATGAATTGTTTAACATAGTACGCCGTGAACCAGTCACTGGATTGTTAGATGGAGATGAATTGATATTGGCCCAGTCTCTTTCGATGACATTGAAGCAAGCACTCGAAAAAGAACTCTGTACTGATTCTGATGCATGTTTTGTGACATTTGCTAGAAGTACTTTCATTGTATTATCTGGTCAAGATGGTTTCTTTATATTTGATTCACATTCCAGAAGCAGTCGAGGTTTCCTGAGTTGTAACGGACACAGTGTTGTACTTCGTACTCAAAGCTGGCAAGGTGTGTACAAGCATTGCATGAGGTTAGCAAAATCAATGGGATGCCCCCTGCACACCGAATATGAAGTAACTAGTGTATGTGCTAAAGCAACTTCCGGTAAGAATGAAACCTTGAAAGGCTATCCACAGTTACAGGATTTTGTTTGTAATCCAATTCCTTCGTCAAATACGCACAGTGAAAGTCAGTCTGGAAGCTCTGGATGTTCCATACATTGTGAAAGCTTTGATGAAGTTCAAATATTGGATGAGAGTGTTTCCCCACAAAAGATGATTGATAACCCAAATGTATTTCTCTTCCCTGAAGAAGCAAATGAAACAATCATTCATGATGTACATTATAACGGTCAGCACCCACAAAAGATGATTGATAACCCAAATGTATTTCTCTTCCCTGAAGAAGCAAATGAAACAATCATTCATGATGTACATTATAACGGTCAGGAATTGAAACTGAAGAGTGTGACAATTGGCTTAACCAAATTAAAAGAATCCCAGCTAAATAATAGTTGTCTTCTGAACGGAAATGACTCTATAAATACAGAATATGAAAATGAACAAAAAGGAGATTCCAAAAATTGTACTAAATCCGGGAATGACTCTGATAGATTAAATTTAGTGAACAAAGTTCAGAATTCCAACTCTATCTTAAGCAGAAAACGAAAATGGAGTAACCTCGAAAGCGATGCAAACGTTGATGTCGACCTTGGCAAGGAAATTCGAAAAACCAAATTGCTAAAAATGAATGAGAACGACAGCTTAAGAATTGATGCAAGCGAATGTGCTGATAGTCATGATGAATTAATAGTAATTGGAGAAGTTCATGTTAGAAATGTAGACCATGGAAAGAAAAAACGTAAAAATAGACAAAGTTCTAATCAAAAAAGGAAGCGCATGAGACAGCAAATGAGAGAAAAACGAGCCCTGGCCAAAGATGAAATCATTAAGAAAAAGGAAAAGTGTATTCACAATGCGCAAATGAAAAAAATTAAAATGAAAAATAAATATCAAAATGATTTAACCTACAAAATAGAAAAAATAAATGAAGTAAAAAAAAGGCAAAAAGAAATGTATGAAGAGGATTCAAATTTCAGGAACATACAGCTAAATATGATGAAAACCAAATATCATTTTGATTCACGTTATAAAAAGAAAATTTTGTATGGAAATAAACAAAAATATTTGAGAAATGAAGGATTCAAAGAAAATGTTAAAACAGCTATGAGGATTAAAATGAAAAATAGATATTGGAACGATGAACTATTTAAACGAATGCACAAGAGTAGAATAAGAAGTAAATACCAGCATGATGAACTATTTAAACGAATGCACAAGAGTAGAGTAAGAAGTAAATACCAGCATGATGAACTATTTAAACGAATGCATAAAAGCAAATTAAGAAGTAAATATTTGAACAACAAACATTTTAAGAAAAAACAACAAGATATCATGAAAAAACGAATAAAGGAATTATATCGCAACGATGAAAATTTTAAGAAAAAACAACAAGATATCATGAAAAAACGAATAAAGGAATTATATCGCAACGATGAAAATTTTAAGGAAAAACAACAAGATATCATGAAAAAACAAATGAAGAAATTATATTGCAACGATCAACAATTTAAACATACAAAAAAGGCAAATATGAAAACATTGTCCAAAATTAGATATAAAGGCAACGAATTTAAGGAAAAGAAATTGATGAGCTTAAAAATGAAATATAAAAGAATTGAAAAATATAGGCAAAATGTAATAAAACAAAATCGAAAAAGGTCTGTACTTCGAACGGTAAAATTGTCCGAGTTTGATATTGTACTTGAAGAATTTAGAAAGATAATTTCTCATGGCCCAGAATATGTGTGCTGTGTATGCTTAAAACTTCTCTTTGAGAACCAAGTATTGAAATGTAAAAAGAGTAATTATAAAATTCAGACATGCATAAGTGAAGAATATTTGCATGTTTGCAATTCAGAATGCCGGTCAAAATGTTTAATAGGCCAGTCAGCCAGATCGTCACTATGGATATGCTTCACCTGTCATAGAAAATTGCAAGCTGGAAAAGTACCTGCAGAAGCAAATATGAACAATTTACAACTACATGAAGTTCCAAAAGAACTTGCCAATCTGAACAATTTAGAACAGCATTTGATTGCATTGAATATTCCTTTCATGAAGTTAATGGCCTTGCCTAAAGGTGGTCAAAATGGAGTCCATGGCCCAGTCGTGTGCGTGCCTTCAAACACTTATGAAACAGTAGATATGTTGCCAAGACCACAGACTGAAGATCAATTGATCCGTGTTAAACTCAAACGAAAATTGTCGTACAAAAGCTATTATGAGTACAAATTTGTAGATAAATCTAACTTGCTTAATGCTCTGCAGTATTTAAAAGCAAATAATAAGTGGTATTTTGATGTTACAGTAAATGATAAATGGGAAAACTCACTTGAACGAAATGAAAAAGATAATGAAAAGGAAGAAGCAGTGGAAATCGGTGGTAAAGCTCGTTTAGCAAAATATTGGAAGGAAATGGAAGAACAAATTGATTACATTTTGTCCAAAGACAAAAATACTAATGAAAACATGCAAGACAACAGTAAACTACACAAAAAAATAAATGACAAGGACACTGAAGACGATATGGAAGAACGATTACGCGGTATTCAGTTAGACTCGTGTCTCCAGCCAGTAGATATTGGACAGGAAATATTAGATCAGTATTTTGAAGACATAATATGTTGTGCTCCTTGTGAAGGAAGAAGCCCTGTATCAATTCTACAAGATGAAAGCAATGAGGCCAAATGTTTCCCAGTATTATTTCCTAAAGGTCAACCAACATTCCATGATAGAAGAGATGAAAAAATAACATTAGGACGTTATCTCCATAACCGACTGATGCACGTGGACAACAGATTTGCTCAGAATACAGATTACATCTTTTATGCACAATATATTTATGAAATTCAACAGGTTATATCACAAGTTTCTATCGCTTTAAGGCAAAGTCCAAACAAAAAAGATGATTCGTCTTCAATAACTGCCTCAGATTTGAAAGATGCAGAGAAAGTTAAAAAAATACTAAAATCAGACAAGGGCTATAAATTTTTAAAGCAAATTCGTGGAACACCTCCATTCTGGCAAAAGACACAAAAAGATGTTCTCGCAATGGTACGACAGCTTGGAAAGCCGACATGGTTTGCTTCTTTCTCATCTGCCGATATGAGATGGCCAGAATTAATGAATACATTGCTTAGACAAAAAGGAGACACCAGGGAATCGAGTGAATTAGACTATACAGAAAAATGTAATCTTTTAAGATCAAATCCAGTAACAGTTGCCAGAATGTTTGATAAAAGATTTCACACTTTTATGAAGAGAGTTATTTTATCTCCCGCTGCACCGATTGGTAAAGTAGTTGATTCATTTTGGAGAGTAGAGTATCAAGCCCGTGGTTCCCCTCACATTCATGCCTTGTTCTGGGTTCAAAATGCTCCACAGTTGGGTATCGATAAAGATGATGATGTCGTACAATTCGTAGATAAATACATTTCTTGCCAGAAACCGGATGAAAAGGAAGATCAAGAACTACATGAAATAGTGAGCAAGGTCCAACAACACAGTAAGAAACATTCTAAATCTTGCACAAAAACGGGAAAAGCGTGTAGATTTAATTTCCCAAGACCACCATCTGAAAAAACATTCATTGTAACACCTGTTGAAGAGATTCCAGCTAAAGATTGTGGGAAAGTGCAAAATAAGGGAAAGGACAATGATCAAATTAAAGCTTCTAAAAAGATTAAAGATGATGCAGAGAAATTGTTGAAGTCAGTTAAAGATGCATTATCCAATGGAATCGAGTACAACAGTGTAAACCATCTCTTTGAAAAGCTTGGCATTACACAAAATCAATTTGAGAATGCACATAATGAATTAGCATCACAACAAAGTATAATCATCAAAAGAGAAATACAAGATGTATGGGTAAATCAGTTTAATCCAAGTCTACTAAGAAGCTGGAATGCCAACATGGATTTGCAGTTTGTAACAAATGTATTTGCATGCGTGGCTTATATTGTATCCTACATGTCAAAAGCTGAACGAGAAATCGGAATGCTATTGAGTCATACACTATCAGAAATGAAAGAGGGAAATGAAAACGCAAAGGAAAGCATGAAAAAACTTGGCCAGGTGTACATGCAAAATCGTGAAGTGTCTGCTCAAGAAAGCGTCTATCGTGTTTGCAGTCTCAGATTGAAAGAATGTTCTAGGAAAGTGGAATTCATTCCTGTTGGACCCGACCCTGTCAGAATGAGTTTACCATTAAGCGTTATAAAAAGCAGACCAGATAACGATAATGATGATGATGAGAATGTTTGGATGCCTAGCAAGCTCGACAGATACAAAGCTCGACCTAGAAACGCAGAATTCAGTGATATGTGTCTTGCAACGTTTTGTTCTCAGTATAGAATCTTAACTGCATCCCAAAAGCCAAGTACAAGAAGTAAAAATGTCTTTAAATTAGATAACGATCTGGGGTATATTCAGAAGCGTACTCGTACGGGAGATGCAGTTGTAAGATATCCCCGATTCTCACCCATTATCTCACCCGAAAAATATTATTTGAGCATTTTGCAACTCTTTCTGCCATATTTTGAAGATGGACAATTAAAGCCCCCAACATTTGAAACACATGAAGAGTTCTACGAGACAGGTTCTGTGAAAATATGTGGACGTGAATTGGAGAAAGTCTGGTCAATTGTCTGTACTAACCGAAAGAAGTTTGAAATGAACGCCGATGCAATTGATCATGCACAGGAGCATCTTGACAAATTTGGTCCACACGAAGATGCATGGGGTCTTTTATGTCCGGAAAAGGAAGTAGAGCGACTTGAACATCCCAAAGAAAATGTAGATGTCGAAGATTGTGATGGAGATCTTGATATCCCAGATTTAAAGAATGAACCGAAAAAAGATGACTATAGCATCGAACTACGTTCGGTAAAAATTTCCAAACAAGATGGACATTCTTTGATGAGGTCTTTGAATGAGAAGCAACAGAGTGTTTTTTACAAAATACGACAGTGGTGTTTAGATAGAGTAAATGGAAAATCGGTCGAACCGTTTCATATGTTTCTAACTGGAGGTGCTGGCACTGGAAAGAGTCATTTGATCAAATGTCTTTACTATGAAGCAACACGTATACTAGCCCGAATGTTGCCACATCCTGATGATGTCTCAGTATTGAAAATGGCTCCAACCGGAGTAGCTGCATACAATATCAATGGCCATACTATACATAGTATTCTTTCTATTCCAATCAATGCACAAGTACTGTATCAACCGCTGAGTGATGAGAAAATAAGTGTCCTTCGAAATAAGCTGGCTGAATTGCAAATTTTAATCATAGATGAAGTATCAATGGTAGATCAAAAGATGATGTCTTACATTCACGGCCGCCTACGACAAATAAAACAATCACGAGATCAAACTGCTTTTGCTGGTGTTTCAGTTATTGCTGTGGGAGACATGTATCAGTTACCTCCAGTCTTAGGAACTCCTTTATATAAAGACACACTCAATGGTGCATTGTGGAATGCTAATTTCAAGAAAGTAGAACTTGAAGACATTATGAGACAAAAAGACGATACCCAATTCGCTTTTCTCTTAAATAGATTACGTGTAAAACAAGGGGAAGAGATTCTCTGTGATGAAGACCTAGCAATGCTCAAGTCCTGCGAGACTGGTGAAGAATGTGAAAATGCTCTGCATATCTATGCATGTAACAATGAAGTAGATGCTTGGAACAAGAAATTATTGCATACAAAATGTGGAGATGTGATATGCGTAAAAGCACAAGACATGGACAAAGATGTTAAAAAAGGAAATCAAATACGGGAAAAACCTTATACAAAGAAGAAAACCCAGTTGCCTCCTTATCTGTGGATTGCAGTTAATGCTAGAGTGATGCTGCTCAAAAACATTGATGTTAGTAAAGGCCTGACAAATGGATGTTTCGGAAATGTAACAGAAATAATAACGGATCATACAAATTTGAATCCAGTTTGCATCAAAGTTAATTTTGAGAAGGCCGATATTGGTATTCATTCAATCGAAATGTCTCAAGAATCCATTGGTAAGAAATATGTGAGAAAACAATTTCCACTTAAGCTTGCTTATGCTTGCACAATTCATAAAGTACAAGGTTCGACATTAGACAAAGCTGTTGTATCATTAAAAAATGTATTTCAATCTGGACAGGCATATGTTGGGCTTAGTCGCGTTACTTCGTTATCTGGACTTGTGATAGAACATTTCGATCCTAAACGTATATATTGTAATCCAGAAATTAAAGAACGCATTGAGATTATGAAGCCGTTTATCGAGAATGAAACTTCTGAAGATATTCACGATTATAACTTTTCTTTGGTAATGCAAAATGTACAAGGATTAAAACAGCATTTTATCGATTTCAAATCCCAGTGCCAATTTGTGAATGTAGATTGTATTTGCTTGACCGAAACATGGATTAATGATGATGATCTCTGTGACGTTATTTTAGATAACTTTCGATTTTATCATCAGCCACGACATCTTTCATACTGTAATTCTGGAGTTGGAAATGTACTCAAAGAACAATCGCACGGAGGTGTTGCAATGTATATCAAGAATACATATTCAAGTAGATTAGACATATCTGTCGACAACTTAGAGTTTATTGCAATTCTTGTCACCAAACCAGTTTCTGTTGTGATTTCAGTTGTTTATCGACCTCCATCATATAGTATCAAATCATTCTGTGAATCATTAGACAATTTGCTAGATGCATTACACAAAAGAAGCATTAGGTGTATTGTGATGGGAGATTTTAATGAGGATTTGTTTAAAGGTTCTTCACAGGTAAACAAGCTGATGTGTAATAAAGGTTACAAACAGCATGTTGTTAATGGTACTACTGAGAAGGGGACATTGATAGATCATGTGTACAGCAAGGGACTAGATTTATTGGAAACAGAGGTCATCCCTACATATTATAGTTACCATGAAGCTGTTAAGATTGCATTTTGATATTTATTGTAAGGCCAAATAAAAAATAAAACATGTTTAGCGTCCTGTTTTTTTTGAAAAAAAAGAAGGAGGCCCTTTACACCTGGAGTAATTTGGCAATTCTATGACATATCTTTTTGCTTTGAAAATGTTACATTGGGGTTGCATAGACAGAATACTTTTTATGTCAAATGCGTTCATTAATAAGGTTAACACTTTTAAAAAAGAAAAATTCAGTGCTGTTCATATTCCTAATCTTCAAATGATTTTTTTTATTTCACTTCAGATAACTGCTTCAGATGACTGCAAAGCGCAACGTTGCAAAGCTCATTTCTACAACCCTAGTCATCAATGACAGTGCACCACCATATCCCTTTGCTCACCAGTTGAAACAAACTACCGCCCTCGAGTCAGAAGGCTGTCCTCATCATCCAACACACAGCGGTAACATCACCCAAGGACTTCAGCCCTCCGGTGATACCTGGTTCAGCAAAGACTAGGCCTTGGGGAGTGTTTACGGCTCTGTCATCATAACAGCATTGTGGCAGAAGTATGGAACACCAGCATATACAGGGTAAGGAAAGATTGCCAAACTAAAATGTTTGAAAAAGCCTAACCCTACTGTACTGAGTTATTTCAAGCTCCTCCGGATAGATGGTTGACCTCGGCCACTACACTGTTGATTCCCACAAAATTGGCACACCTGGAGTAAATTGGCAATTCTATGACATATCTTTTTGCTTTGAAAATGTTACATTGGGGTTGCATAGACAGAACACTTTTTATGTCAAATGCGTTCATTAATAAGGTTAACACTTTTAAGAAAGAAAAATTGAGTACTGTTCATATTCCTAATCTTCAAATGATTTTTTTAAATTTCACTTCTTGAGATAACTTCTTCAGATGACTGCAAAGCGCAACATTGCAAAGCTCACTTCTACAACCCTAGTCACCAATGACCGTGCACCACCATACCCCTTTGCTCACCAGTTCAAACAAACTACCGCCCTCGAGTCAGAAGGCTGTCCTCATCGTCCAACACACAGCGGTAACATCACCCCAGGACTTCAGCCCTCCGGTGATACCTGGTTCAGCGAAGACTAGGCCTTGGGGAGTGTTTACGGCTTTGTCACCAAAACAGCATTGTGGCAGAAGTATGGAACACCAGCATATACATGTAATGTATCGGGACCTTTACAGGGTAAGGAAAGATTGCCAAACTAAAATGTTTGAAAAAGCCTAACCCTACTGTACAGAGTTATTTCAAGCTCCTCCTGATAGATGGCTGACCACGGCCACTACACTAGTGATTCCCACAAAATTGGCACACCTGGAGTAAATTGGCAATTCTATGACATATCTTTTTGCTTTGAAAATGTTACATTGGGGTTGCATAGACAGAATACTTTTTATGTCAAATGCGTTCATTAATAATGTGAACACTTTCAAAAAAGAAACATTTAGTACTGTTTATATTCCTAATCTTCAAATGATTTTTTTTATTTCACTTCTTGAGATAACTTCTTCAGATGACTGCAAAGCGCAACGTTGCAAAGCTCATTTCTACAACCCTAGTCACCAATGACAGTGCACCACCATACCCCTTTGCTCACCAGTTCAAACAAACTACCGCCCTCGAGTCAGAAGGCTGTCCTCATCGTCCAACACACAGCGGTAACATCACCCCAGGACTTCACCTCTCCGGTGATACCTGGTTCAGCGAAGACTAGGCCTTGGGGAGTGGTTACGGCTCTGTCATAACAGCATTGTGGCAGAAGTATGGAACACCAGCATATACATGTAATGTATCAGGACCTTCACAGGGTAAGGAAAGATTGCCAAACTAAAATGTTTGAAAAAGCCTACTGTACAGAGTTATTTCAAGCTCCTCCTGATAGATGGCTGACCTCGGCCACTACACTGTTGATTCCCACAAAATTTGGCACACCTGGAGTAAATTGGCAATTCTATGACATATCTTTTTGCTTTGAAAATGTTACATTTGGGTTGCATAGACAGAATACTTTTTATGTCAAATGCGTTCATTAATAATGTTCACACTTTTAAAAAAGAAACATTTAGTACTGTTTATATTCCTAATCTTCAAATGATTTTTTTTATTTCACTTCTTGAGATAACTTCTTCAGATGACTGCAAAGCGCAACGTTGCAAAGCTCATTTCTACAACCCTAGTCACCAATGACAGTGCACCACCATACCCCTTTGCTCACCAGTTGAAACAAACTACCGCCCTCGGGTCAGAAGGCTGTCCTCATCGTCCAACACACAGCGGTAACATCACCCCAGGACTTCAGCCCTCCGGTGATACCTGGTTCAGCGAAGACTATGCCTTGGGGAGTGTTTACGGCTCTGTCACCAAAACAGCATTGTGGCAGAAGTATGGAACACCAGCATATACATGTAATGTATCAGGACCTTCACAGGGTAAGGAAAGATTGCCAAACTAAAATGTTTGAAAAAGCCTAACCCTACTGTACAGAGTTATTTCAAGCTCCTCCTGATAGATGGCTGACCTCGGCCACTACACTATTGATTCCCACAAAATTGGCACACCTGGAGTAAATTGACAATTCTATGACATATCTTTTTGCTTTGAAAATGTTACATTAGGGTTGCATAGACAGAATACTTTTTATGTCAAATGCGTTTATTAAGAAGGTGAACACTTTTAAAAAAGAAAAATTCAGTACTGTTCATATTCCTAATCTTCAAATGATTTTTTTTATTTCACTTCATATAACTTCTTCAGATGACTGCAAAGCGCAACATTGCAAAGCTCATTTCTACAACCCTAGTCACCAATGACAGTGCACCACCATATCCCTTTGTTCACCAGTTCAAACAAACTACCGCCCTCGAGTCAGAAGGCTGTCCTCATCATCCAACACACAGCGGTAACATCACCCAAGGACTTCAGCCCTCCGGTGATACCTGGTTCAGCAAAGACTAGGCCTTGGGGAGTGTTTACGGCTCTGTCATCATAACAGCATTATGGCAGAAGTAAGGAACACCAGCATATACAGGGTAAGGAAAGATTGCCAAACTAAAATGTTTGAAAAAGCCTAACCCTACTGTACTGAGTTATTTCAAGCTCCTCCGGATAGATGGTTGACCTCGGCCACTACACTGTTGATTCCCACAAAATTGGCACACCTGGAGTAAATTGGCAATTCTATGACATATCTTTTTGCTTTGAAAATGTTACATTGGGGTTGCATAGACAGAACACTTTTTATGTCAAATGCGTTCATTAATAAGGTTAACACTTTTAAGAAAGAAAAATTGAGTAATGTTCATATTCCTAATCTTCAAATGATTTTTTTAAATTTCACTTCTTGAGATAACTTCTTCAGATGACTGCAAAGCGCAATGTTGCAAAGCTCACTTCTACAACCCTAGTCACCAATGACTGTGCACCACCATACCCCTTTGCTCACCAGTTCAAACAAACTACCGCCCTCGATTTAGAAGGCTGTCCTCATCGTCCAACACACAGCGGTAACATCACCCCAGGACTTCAGCCCTCCGGTGATACCTGGTTCAGCGAAGACTATGCCTTGGGGAGTGTTTACGGCTCTGTCACCAAAACAGCATTGTGGCAGAAGTATGGAACACCAGCATATACATGTAATGTATCGGGACCTTTACAGGGTAAGGAAAGATTGCCAAACTAAAATGTTTGAAAAAGCCTAACCCTACTGTACAGAGTTATTTCAAGCTCCTCCTGATAGATGGCTGACCTCGGCCACTACACTAGTGATTCCCACAAAATTGGCACACCTGGAGTAAATTGGCAATTCTATGACATATCTTTTTGCTTTGAAAATGTTACATTGGGGTTGCATAGACAGAATACTTTTTATGTCAAATGCGTTCATTAGTAATGTTAACACTTTCAAAAAAGAAACATTTAGTACTGTTTATATTCCTAATCTTCAAATGATTTTTTTTATTTCACTTCAGATAACTTCTTCAGATGACTGCAAAGCGCAACGTTGCAAAGCTCATTTCTACAACCCTAGTCACCAATGACAGTGCACCACCATATCCCTTTGCTCACCAGTTGAAACAAACTACCGCCCTCGAGTCAGAAGGCTGTCCTCATCGTCCAACACACAGCGGTAACATCACCCCAGGACTTCAGCCCTCCGGTGATACCTGGTTCAGCGAAGACTAGGCCTTGGGGAGTGTTTACGGCTCTGTCACCAAAACAGCATTGTGGCAGAAGTATGGAACACCAGCATATACATGTAATGTATCAGGACCTTCACAGGGTAAGGAAAGATTGCCAAACTAAAATGTTTGAAAAAGCCTAACCCTACTGTACAGAGTTATTTCAAGCTCCTCCGGATAGATGGTTGACCTCGGCCACTACACTGTTGATTCCCACAAAATTGGCACACCTGGAGTAAATTGGCAATTCTATGACATATCTTTTTGCTTTGAAAATGTTACATTGGGGTTGCATAGACAGAACACTTTTAATGTCAAATGCGTTCATTAATAAGGTTAACACTTTTAAGAAAGAAAAATTGAGTACTGTTCATATTCCTAATCTTCAAATGATTTTTTTAAACTTCACTTCTTCAGATAACTTCTTCAGATGACTGCAAAGCGCAACGTTGCAAAGCTCACTTCTATCTACAACCCTAGTCACCAATGACCGTGCACCACCATATCCCTTTGCTCACCAGTTCAAACAAACTACCGCCCTCGAGTCAGAAGGCTGTCCTCATCGTCCAACACACAGCGGTAACATCACCCCAGGACTTCAGCCCTCCGGTGATACCTGGTTCAACGAAGACTAGGCCTTGGGGAGTGGTTACGGCTCTGTCATAAGAGCATTGTGGCACAAGTAGCCTCGATCTCGACCAAGACATTTTGAATGCCACTCTGTATGGCTCAGCATACTTTTTTTTTCTTTATTCATACTAACGTGTGTTCATGTCCATTTTTCCACCTCTGATTCTTACATTTATTTTCTGATACCATGTTTCTGTGTGATTTTAGTCTTATTTTTACTGGTATGACAATGTAAACATATACCTTTGTTCCACACAAGATATTTTGGGATTTTGTGTGCACTTCCATGTAACTACATGTATTTTTATATGATAGTTTTTGTTTCTGATTGTTCAATTCCTTTTACGCTCTCATTCCTTTATAGTTGTATCTTATTTGAGACAGAGGAAGAGAGAGGGTGAATAGTAGAGAGAGAGGGGGATGCAGAAACAAAGCGCCATTTATGATGTATTTTATTACATTTGTGTTTTAACTTTGCACATACATTGCAAGATTTTGGGATTTAACACGTTTATTTTTCTGTAAGTTTGTAAATCCTTGTATTCACACAGTGTTTTGAGTGATATATTGTAAAGATAGATCTTATGCATGCTCCTTGGGGAAAAGAAGTTATACATGCATGTCACTCTTCTTATCTTGGCATTACCGTAATTCTTATATTGGTTGATGTTGCTGATATATGAAACAGAATCTGATGGATATCATTGATAACAGTTACTGTTTGTCTTCTTTTTAACATCAGGATAACAGATCTTAGTAGTACAGCGAAAGACAATTCACTGTAATTTGTTATATTGTCATATATTACACGATTATGATTTTCAATGGCACATGTTTGTACACTACAATTTTATGTCATTAGAGGTCACATATCCAGTTTGTTTCGTGAATAGTCAATATTGGATTATGATTATAATGTCAGTTTATTTGCAACATTTACCCCATATATAGTGGTATCTTACGATCAACTGTCAATATCTACTGCATTCACTATACATAGCAGTGTCTTGCTTGCTGTAACAAAGAGGTATATAGGGCTGTTAGGGATTATCCATAATGTACATTGTTTTTTAGTTTTTATTGTTATTGTGTTTATCTGAACTTATGTTGTTTATGTACCTGTTTTATATATGTATTCCATTTCTGTTGAATATATATACATGTTAAAATGCCCTTTTCAGAGATTTGTACAATGCTGCTCTTTTCAGTATGTGCTTTTATTTTGGTATATCAAATTTAATTGGATATGCTGTTTTTAAAATTTATTTCTTTTAAAATGTGTTCGAAGATGATAGGTGATTACCATTTGTAACATTGCATTGCGGTTCTTTTTTAGATCGCCAAGGAAATAGCGTGATGTTAAGTTTGGTGCAGAATGTCATTTACATGCATGTAGATAGGTCTATGCAATTTAGCTTTGACTTTGGTTAACAATGAATAGACCTGTTTACTAATGTACTTCATTTTATGTTTCTCTCTATAGTACATGGTAGGGGGTGAAACAAGAATACAAAGGTTAGAAGGAAAAGTTAAAGAAGATTGGGGTTCAATGGCACATGTTTGTACACTACAATTTTATGTCATTAGAGGTCACATATCCAGTTTGTTTTGTGAATAGTCAATATTGGATTATGATTATAATGTCAGTTTATTTGCAACATTTACCCCATATATAGTGGTACCTTACGATCAACTGTCAATATCTACTGCATTCACTATACATAGCAGTGTCTTGCTTGCTGTAACAAAGAGGTATATAGGGCTGTTAGGGATTATCCATAATGTACATTGTTTTTTAGTTTTATTTTTATTGTGTTTATCTGAACTTATATCTCACTTGCTATGTAGGGGGCCTTTCATATAATCAGTAGGTATCTTGTTTATGTACCTGTTTTATATATGTATTCCATTTCTGTTGAATATATATACATGTTAAAATGCCCTTTTTAGAGATTTGTACAATGCTGCTCTTTTCAGTATGTGCTTTTATTTTGGTATATCAAATTTAATTGGATATGCTGTTTTTAAAATTTATTTCTTTTAAAATGTGTTTGAAGATGATAGGTGATTACCATTTGTAATATTGCATTGCGGTTCTTTTTTAGATCGCCAAGGAAATAGCGTGATGTTAAGTTTGGTGCAGAATGTCATTTACATGCATGTAGATAGGTCTATGCAATTTAGCTTTGACTTTGGTTTGATAAGCTTTGTTTAGTGCTTTGAACATGAATTTAACAATGAATAGACCTGTTTACTAATAGACTTTATTTCATGTTTCTCTCTATAGTACATGGTAGGGGTGAAACAAGAATACAAAGGTTAGAAGAAAAAGTTAAAGAAGATTGGGGAACACTGGAAGACATAATAGAGGGAGAACGAGAGTCAGAGGCGGAATAGGGAGAGGGTGAGAGAGTATAACAAAAGAGAAGGGCAGAGATAGATCGAGACATCGCAAGGGAGAAAGAGGGAGGCAAGGAAGGAGTGAGACGAAGGAAGGGAGAGGGTGAAGAGTAGAGAAAGAGAGAGGGGGATGCAGAAACAAAACAAGAGAGGAGAAGGGGAACATAGCAAGAGAGAGGAGAAAGAGAAAGAGATGCAATCGAGGCACTCTACTAGCATAAATAGATTTGAATATTTACTATATAGAGAAAGGGAGAAGTTATATAGACATAGACAATGATGATCATGATGATAATGAACATGAAGGTGATGGTAATGATAATGTTAGATGATGATAATAATAATAATGTTAATGATGATGTTGATGATCATCAGACCATCACGATGATGATGATATTGATGATGATGATCATGAGCGTGATCCTGACATCTGATTGAAAAAAATGAGGGGACATTTAGATAGCATATAGTCTCAGCTACAACATGCTCAAATATATTTTAAAAAACAAGCGGAAATAACGGCGATATTGCTCTCAAAAGACAGGGATGTAGAATCCAGATTTGAGAAAAAGTCATCTCCCATATAGAAAAAGAGAGAAATTTTAACGATATGTAAATGTAAACAATGATCATAATGATGATGATGATGATGATGATCTTGATAGTAATGATTATGATGATGATTATAATGATAATGTTAATGATGATGATGATGATGATGTTGATGATCATGATCATGATCAGACCATGATGATGATCATGATCATGATGATCATGATGATGATCATGAGCGTGATTCTGACATCTGATTGAAAAGATGAGGGGACATTTAGATAGCATAGAGTCTCAGCTACAACATACTCCAAAATCAACAAAAACCAGGCGGAAATAACGGCGATATTGCTCGCAAAAGACAGGAATGTAGAATCCAGATTTGAGAAAAAGTCATCTCCCATGGGGATTACAGGCGAAAAGTAATGGATCAAGTGATAATAGGGTAATAATAAAGTAAATATGGTTGTTTATTACATTATTTGCGATTCTACGTGTAGTAATGTGATATTTGCTATGTATATCCATCAGAAACTTGTCTGTACGAAACAGTGAAATACTGCCCTCTCCGGCAGAATAAAGTAAGCTTAGCAACGAGCATAATGGCGTATACTTCTAGCAGTATTTACTTTCGTATTTATGGACATATAAGATACGACATTTGGCGACGAGGAAGGGATTCTCATTCCAGGACATCACTATGATGTTCCCCCTGCCCCTAACATTCACTCCCGACATCCTGCCCCCTCCAGTCGCCCTTCTCGTACCCGGCGACGGCCTCGATATTTGACAGACTATGTCTCATAGAACTATATTTCGGTTCCTCCCTTTTGACAGTACTCATAGTGTTTTGGTTACATGCATGTTTTGGATGAAATGCCTTCATCTCAGTAGCTAGTTTGACCCCCCCCCCCCCAATGGTTGTTTATGCATTTTGTCATTCTGATGTTTGTCTTTACCGGTAATCTTTTCATACTGCTTCGCATCTACCAGTTCCACTCCATCACACTGATTGATACGGAATGTTTTTTTCCTAAATTCTTTTTTCAAGCAATTTTCAGTTGTGAGTTCAATAATGCAACAGTCTATTTTTTTTATATAGAGATACTGTTCGAATGATGATGATTATTTTGATATGTTTGTCATTATTGTTCATTGAAAAGGGAGAGAGGAAGGATGGAAAGAGGATTAATATTTCACGAACAAAACAGATATTGTAAACAAACAAACAAAAAATGATTTAAATGTACGTACATGTATGTATGTCAAATTACTGTACACTGAAAGTACAAACATGATGTGTTTATTAGTAATTTCGTTCAAAAGCATTATTGTTGTATATTGTGTGGTACAATGTATTTTTAACTTGGACTGTTCTTTGCATCATTAGTTTCCAAAAGAAAAAGTACAAGAACAGAAATGATTTATTTTGGTTAATAACATTTATTTTATTGTCATGCTGTGCAAGTACACATATATGCACAACTTTGTTGCAAATGATGTTGAAATGCCAAATGTTGCACAATACTCTATTGTTTCAGTTTGGTGTTATAGCAGACCTCAATAAGGTGTTTTCAAGGTTGTAAGTGTTATGAAAGTTCTATTTGACTTTGTCTAGTATTTTGCAGTTCATGATTTCGACAAGGATTTTGTAATGTCAGGTTTAAGACAGCAGTCCTTTTATTGTTGTGTTTGCATTCAGTTGATCTCAAATATAACTAACCTCGTACGTATAGGATTTTACACAAATACAAGTGCTAACAACTCTCAGAAGAAAATAGCCAAATCACTCATATATATTTTAGTTGTTAGATTTGATCCAAACCGATTCAGCCGATACTGTATGTATTCAACAGGCTTAATGCACCTTCTCCAACATTATAGGAAACTCTATCTCAAAGAAGGGAGAGGTGTAGTAATGTGATTTTTGCTATGTCCATCAGAAACTTGTCTGTATGAAACAGTGAAATACTACCCTCTCCGGCAGAATAAAGTAAGCTTAGCAACGAGCATAGTGGCGTATACTTCTAGCAGTATTACTTTCGTATTTATGGACATATAAGATACGACACTACGTGTTTTAAAATTCAAAGGAGATTGTACAGTGAAAGGTCAAAATGAAAAAAAAGTGAAGAAAAAAATTGTTGGAGACGCCCGGACTCGAACCAGGGACCTCGAGGTCGGAAGTCAAGTGCGTTACCGATATACCAAAACATTTCCCATAGAGATTACACGTAAACGGAAAATGGAATTCTCAAATCCCACTTTGTAAGTGAAATATGAGCATGATCCCGGCATCTGATCGAAAAATAAAGGACACACTTGTGATAGCTTATTTTCTCAGCTACAACATACTCAAAGCTCAGCGTAAACAAAGATAAAACGACGGAGATATTGCTCGCAAAAGACGAGAATGTAGAATCCAGTTTTGAGAAAAAGTCATGTCCCATAGAGAATACACGCAAAATGTGAAAAATTGACATGCCTCCTTTAATCGCAAAAATACGCCATGATGCCATTGTCAAAATGAAATATCATGATGACTACATTTGTAGAGAATATTCTCAGGTAGAACATATCAAAATTTGAAAGAAAATTAATCAATATTTACAGAGATACAATCAATTTTACAAAAATATGCTGACGTCATAATATGCAAATTGAAATTTTGAGTTCGGAGGCCATTATGATGACGTCATGAGTTAAATGAGGGTCAAATGACACATGAAATCATATCTCCAACTCATACTTATTCCAACCATGATATAAAAGTTGGGGTCAATTGACTATCTCAAGAGCTATTTTGATTTTTAAAATGGGATGTTTTTGATCAAATTTGCATTATATTGCCCATAGCAGTACGCGCGGATTTTGAACTTTGACGCGCGCTCACGGCCTTATAAAAGGTCAAGAGTGACTGAAATTAATGTAAATTGTCATTTACGGTAAGAGAAATCTAAATCATGTAAAAAAAAATGAATTTGACCTTTTCCGCGCGTTGTGAGCGCGCGCAACGCGCGCGTTGACACTTACGGACGGAAAATTTTGAAATGCTTAAAATGACCTGATTCGTACTCTCCTTCAATAGTTAAGTAATTTTGAGCATTTTTAAATTTTGACGCGCACGTACGCGCGCGTCGTGACCTTTATGTGACCTTTGATGACATGATCTGTTGACCCTTGACCTGAAATATATGTGATATGAATATGAATGATCTTTGCTGATCCATCATGAAGATATGATGGATAACGTGATTTCACAAAATGGCGCCTGGATGACGTCACGATAAATTGATGACCTTGAAAATGTTCCTGTCACGTCTCATGACAATGACTTATGACTGTGTAAAAATTAAAAGAAATTAACACAACCGATCTTGAGTTAACCGATAAACAAAAAACGGGAAGAAATAAAAATAAATAATAATAATAAACTAGAAATTTAATTCGTCATGGGGACGAATTAGGTGGTCTGTTTTCAATTTTATGATCATTGAAAAGTCAAAAAAGAAAAAAAAAAGAAAAGAAAAAAATTGTTGGAGACTCCCGGACTCGAACCAGGGACCTCGAGGTCGGAAGTCAAGTGCGTTACCGATATGCCAAAACATTTCCCATAGAGATTACACGTAAACGTAAAATAGAATTCACAAATCCCACTTTATAAGTGAAATATGAGCATGATCCCGGCATCTGATCGAAAAATAAAGGGCACACTCGTGATAGCTCATTCTCTCAGCTACATCATACTCAAAGCTCAGCATAAACAAAGATAAAACGATGGAGATATTGCTCGCGAAAGACGAGAATGTAGAATCCAGTTTTGAGAAAAAGTCATGTCTCATAGAGAATACACGCAAAATGTGAAAAATTGACATGCCTGCTTTAATCGCAAAAAATACGCCATGATGCCCTTGTCAAAATGAAATATCGTGGAGGCTGCATTTGTAGACAATATTCTCAGGTAGAACATATCAAAATTTGAAAGAAAATGAATTAATATTTACAGAGATACAATCAATTTTATAAAAATATGTTGACGTCATAATATGCAAATTGAAATTTTGAGTTCGGAGGCCATTATGATGGCGTCATGAGTTAATTGAGGGTCAAATGACACATGAAATCATATCTCCAACTCATGTTTTTTCCAACCATGATATAAAAGTTGGGGTCAATTGACTATCTGAAGAGCTATTTTGATTTTTAAAATGGGATGTTTTTGATCAAATTTGCATTATAGTGCCCATAGCAGCACGCGCGGATTTTGAACTTTGACGCGCGCTCACGGCCTTATGAAAGGTCAAGAGTGACTGAAATTAATGTAAATTGTCATTTACGGTAAGAGGAATATAAATCATGTAAAACAAATGAATTTGACCTTTTCCGCGCGTTGTGAGCGCGCGCAACGCGCGCGGGGACACTTACGGACGGAAAATGTTGAAATGCTTAAAATGACCTGATTCGTACTCTCCTTTGATAGTTAAGTGATTTTGAGCATTTTAATATTTTGACGCACGCGTACGCGCGCGTCGTGACCTTTATTTGACCTTTGATGACATGACCTGTTGACCCTTGACCTGAAGTATATGTGATATGAATATGAATGACCTTTGCTTATGCATCACGAAGATATGATGGATAACGTGATTTCACAAAATGGCGCCTGGATGACGTCACGATAACCTGATGACCTTGAAAATGTTCCTGTCACGTCTCATGACAATGACCTATGACTGTGTCAAAATTGAAAGAAATTAAAACAACCGATCTTGAGTTAACCGATAAACAAAAAACGGGAAGAAATAAAAATAAATAATAATAACTAGAAATTTAATTCGTCATGGGGACGAATTAGGTGGTCTGTTTTCAATTTTATGATCATTGAAAAGTCAAAAAAGAAAAAAAAAAAGAAAAGAAAAAAATTGTTGGAGACTCCCGGACTCGAACCAGGGACCTCGAGGTCGGAAGTCAAGTGCGTTACCGATATGCCAAAACATTTCCCATAGAGATTACACGTAAACGGAAAATAGAATTCACAAATCCCACTTTATAAGTGAAATATGAGCATGATCCCGGCATCTGATCGAAAAATAAAGGGCACACTCGTGATAGCTCATTCTCTCAGCTACATCATACTCAAAGCTCAGCATAAACAAAGATAAAACGATGGAGATATTGCTCGCGAAAGACGAGAATGTAGAATCCAGTTTTGAGAAAAAGTCATGTCTCATAGAGAATACACGCAAAATGTGAAAAATTGACATGCCTGCTTTAATCGCAAAAAATACGCCATGATGCCCTTGTCAAAATGAAATATCGTGGAGACTGCATTTGTAGACAATATTCTCAGGTAGAACATATCAAAATTTGAAAGAAAATGAATTAATATTTACAGAGATACAATCAATTTTATAAAAATATGTTGACGTCATAATATGCAAATTGAAATTTTGAGTTCGGAGGCCATTATGATGGCGTCATGAGTTAATTGAGCGTCAAATGACACATGAAATCATATCTCCAACTCATGTTTTTTCCAACCATGATATAAAAGTTGGGGTCAATTGACTATCTGAAGAGCTATTTTGATTTTTAAAATGGGATGTTTTTGATCAAATTTGCATTATAGTGCCCATAGCAGCACGCGCGGATTTTGAACTTTGACGCGCGCTCACGGCCTTATGAAAGGTCAAGAGTGACTGAAATTAATGTAAATTGTCATTTACGGTAAGAGGAATATAAATCATGTAAAACAAATGAATTTGACCTTTTCCGCGCGTTGTGAGCGCGCGCAACGCGCGCGGGGACACTTACGGACGGAAAATGTTGAAATGCTTAAAATGACCTGATTCGTACTCTCCTTTGATAGTTAAGTGATTTTGAGCATTTTAATATTTTGACGCACGCGTACGCGCGCGTCGTGACCTTTATGTGACCTTTGATGACATGACCTGTTGACCCTTGACCTGAAGTATATGTGATATGAATATGAATGACCTTTGCTTATGCATCACGAAGATATGATGGATAACGTGATTTCACAAAATGGCGCCTGGATGACGTCACGATAACCTGATGACCTTGAAAATGTTCCTGTCACGTCTCATGACAATGTCCTATGACTGTGTCAAAATTGAAAGAAATTAAAACAACCGATCTTGAGTTAACCGATAAACAAAAAACGGGAAGAAATAAAAATAAATAATAATAATAAATAAATAAAGAAAGAAAATTCTGACGAAAACAATAGGTGATCTGTCGAAAACGACAGACCACCTAATAAATAAAGAAAGAAAATTCTGACGAAAACAATAGGTGATCTGTCGAAAACGACAGACCACCTAATAAATAATAATAATAATAATAAATAAATAAAGAAAGAAAATTCTGACGAAAACAATAGGTGATCTGTCGAAAACGACAGACCACCTAACAAGAAAATTTGACATATTTCTGATACGATTGTCGTTTTATTGTTTCAAATTCACCACTCAATCATTTCACTGCTACAATGTACTCACAGGACCACTGGAGAAGATATAAATGTTTCAATCCTCGAATCTATCTTAAAATGTCTTCCGAAAAGTATGGACAATCTAGTCGTGTGACTATAATAAGGATTTTTTAAAATAGAAATTGCATTCGTTTTCGTCGTATTACACTTTGATAAACAAAAAAGTTTGAACGCACTATTAACGTGCATTTGGTATTGATTTGGCAATGATGACGTATTTGTTAAAATTCTAATCATTTTTTATAAAAGTATTATTATTATTATTTGCATATCTCAGTAGCCTTGCAACGTAATTATAGCAGCGTTTTTTTTTTGGAGTGACCCGTCGCATGACAATAATCCAAGGTGCTTTCATTTTTCATACCAAACAAAATTTGAAACGGATGTCGGTACAATCATGACATCATAATGTCTGCTCATGTATTTTGCGGGAAAAAAAGAAGAAGAACATCACAACCTATTCTACAAATCAACAAAACATACACATTCAAATCAAAATATATTACTTTTCACACAAAAATGGGATTTAATATAAGTTCAATATCGTCAAAAAGTATGGCAGGTAATTGGTCAGGGCTGCTTGTTATGCAGTACATGAGAATCCTATGAAAATAATTTGATACAAACTTTATTTAATTCATTCTCACAGAAGAAACAAAATGGGGTAGCATACATTTTATGAAAGTGTACACAAGCACATTTTCACAACAAATTCCCTAATTTAGAGTGCACATGCATATATCAAATAACACTGCAAATTGGTTATAAAAACGAATATACGCCATACACAAAAATCGGTGTAATTTGACAGAGTAGTACATGTACTACAAACTTCAGACCTCTTTTTTTAAATTCTATTTTGTTTGTTTTGTCTGTGAGACTTATTTAAAATCCTTGTCAAAAAAAAAATCCCCTATAAGGCTATTACCGAAGTGATATTAAAACTCATGTGTGCATGCATGGAATGATTTTGAAATTAGAACATTATATTCGCAAATATTGTGTGTATGTGTGTGTGGATTATACATACATGTAAATATTATGCTTCATCTCATGTACTAAGTATCGAACTCTAAACGTTTGTGACGGCATATATAGGAGAGTATAAATATAATCGGTATTAATGCATACAAAATAATGTGTGCTCAAATCAAATAGCAACACAATAATTGTAGCCAAATCAGACACAAATAACACGCATAAATCTTTGTTTGATCATAGAGTAATGAGGTATATCACAATAAATACAAGATCTATTTGAATCTCACCCAACTAAACCAGGTATCTAATAAAGGAGCTCATGAGACTTTGGTATAATCAGATTTAGCTACGAAAAATGTATGATGACAGTGCGACGGGCAATAGTCATGTAGTCGTTGGTCAATAAGATGAATTGTGCGTTTACGACATACTTGTAAATTTTGAATAGTTAGTACCGTTATATAAAATCGCTTCTTCATTACAACATCTTCCAAAACATTATTTTCCAAATAATTCATTAGTTATTCATCATATTAAATTTGTAAAGAAAGCACTTCACACCTTTTCTTCGTTTACTAGCATGATGCAGCAATTTTGGACGTGATTTAAGATTAAACAGGGAACGTCCGCATTGTATCAACATAAGAAAGTTCTAGAGTATAAACAATTGACAATAAACCGAATTTCAAATCATCTAAAGAAATACAAATTCAAAAGAGAAGGGTCAAATACAAAATTAGGAAGAAACAGATGTAACAGATTCAGGAAAACCACGCAATTTTACACAGAAATCTTAATAAGTTTTAAATTGTAACACTTGAGAGCTGACTACAATGTCAATGCTACATTTCACCTGTAAAGTACTTTCAAAACAGATGTAGCAGGAAAGCATCTATTCTGGTCTTAATCAACGGTACCTCAAATAGTGAGCTTTTTCTTTATGTTTAAACCCAGATTTCCCCCAATTTACACTTTACAGACAGTGTACACCGCTTGAATAATGTAACAACTAATATTTTGCATTATAAACGACATATGACATTAGGAAGCCTGTTTTTGTTTATTATTACCATCACTCCAAACATTTCTTCTTTTTATATATAATTATGTACATTTTTTTTTCTTCAAAGAAAACACATCCTTATTATGTACATGTATTTAGTTACACGTTTATAAGTCAACCAATTTCACGACTAGTTCTAACATTTAATTTGACACTCGACTTATATAAAATATGAAATTTCTTCATTTCGATACAAAATTGTGATTCAAGAGTAATTAAGAGAAGGATTAATAAACAATTATTACCATGGTTACCGATAAGGTGGGTTAAACGTGTAAGGTGATAATCATCTTTGTATTACTATAAAATAGAATATATTGTCAAATTATTTCAGATGTTAAATATCAAAGCCCAGATTTAGTCATTGCAACAGTGGACAAAAAAATCTTTATCATTATATTGATTTATTATAATTTTTTGATATTTTAATTAAATGCTGTACTTGCAACATATTCTCGCATACAAGTAAGGTAGTTAAACATAATTTACCATACTGCGGGAGAAATTTAATCAAGGTTTGTTTCTTAATTCATTTTTTTCCCTCTGTTTTTAGATTTTCATGACTCCGAATCATGTCCAACTTCATTAGTATTTCAAACGAATTATTCCCTCTTGTATATAGAGAGCGCTCATGAATAAAGGCGTGCATGCCATCGAGTATTCGCTGGTAAAATTTGCAACGGGAGTCGGCGCTTTTCAGCAAAATATCAAGTATTCACTTAATTGATTCATCTAAACCGAATACAAATTTATGAAAGTTAGTTATCAATTACTGCTTGTATTTAACAACATTTTGATTAACCAAATTGCACTCATCATCCGGAGGCTAGGCCAAATTCTTTCTCTCATCAAAATCTTGGCAAATTTGGTTGTGGATGTTCATTATAGTCAAGACACAAACATAATTGTTCAAGTTGTTAAAATATGTGATGGGGCAAATTTTAACTACATCATAAAAAATATCCTGCAAGGAAACCCATAGGTTGAACAGCATTTTCTACATAAGCAATGGCAGCAATTTTTGTACATCAAGAAATCTGCAGCACGACATTTATGTGCACTTAGAAATAACATCGTAATTCAGTTGCATAAGAGCAGAACCACGAGGACATTCACAACATCAATTATTTACAAATTATGTGGCAAGTCATTCTCATCTTCCAATTTATTTCATTTTCATGCAGAATCAATTAAGTTCTTAATTATTGCAATAATTTCTCTCATCTTATATTCTCATCGCATGTGTCAGGCCCTTCTTTCGGAATGTCTATAATTTCATCAATCATTAATATAATTCTACTCAAGAATTTATCATTCTTAATATGATCAAATGATAATATAATTCAAACCTATGTTACTTGTTATATGTTATGCATACAATGATTGCAATATAAGACGAGAAAGACAGCACGGATAGCATAATATAGGGACATCAAACATAATAATTGTTAGTGATTATTTAGTTCACAATTATACTAGTCCTTAACTTTTGTTGCATTTAGGTTGCAACTCGTATTGCTTTTTCTTTCTACAGAAGGAAGAAATTATGCATTATCCGAAATTAATTTTTATGCAAGTAAAAAAGAGTTGCAATAAATCGTATTATTTGGTTGTTAGTGAGGTATACATAATTGGAAACGAGAGTGAACGTAGTTTGCAATTTCTATCAACCTTTTATCTTTTATACGTGTTTGAAGGGTATATTCTTCGAAGACTAATGTTGCACTTGCATCGCAAGTCGCAAAGTAATTCGAATCGAAAGCCAAGTCATGCATGACTGCAATACCCAATCACAGTCATTGAATGATGTACTATAGGAATTGTTATCTACCCTGTAACGTAGATAAGGAGGACTGTAATTGGTTAAAAGTTCAGACATGCCCTGTCATAGATGAAACGTAGGTAGCGCTGCCATGACAATAAGTTCTACCTTTCAACTAGTCTCGTGACCGACTGCTTTAGACGCTGTCCGTTGCATCATAGGTCTGTATTCCGACGGACTCGTTGTACGGTGGCGGGGGGATGTCAGCGTCATGGCCGTTCTTGATGACTTCACCGTCGGCATGGTTGTTGTGACCGAGTTCGATGTTTGAAAAGATCGGGTCGACCACGTGTACGTTGGGAGCGTTCACCGTGTCACTGCGACAATGGGGCAGGTAGGGTGTGGTGAGGATGTTCCATCGCTGGAGAATTTAATAAAAACAAGAACATTTGAGCTTTACATTGATTAAACAAATAATCAAGAGATTTCATTTTAAAGTTTTTGCTACACCATTTTGAATAAAGGGGAAGATTGTAAATCCAAGTCTCTGGCATGTGTAAAAGGCGAAACAAATTTTATACGAATATGCCGATATTGCTAATGGTTTTGCCCACATAATTTTTGTAATATACTTTCAAAATTGATAATCTCTCGATTCATAAGTATGATCAAGTCCCATCCCCTTCCCGGCGCATCGCCATTGAACATATCATATTAGATGTTTTTTGGAAGTTATTAATTCTACAACTAAATTAAACCAACTAGGCCTACTGATGATTTACCTAATTTCTGTACCTTGCTTTTTAAAGATTAACAGAGACAAGTTGACAGATAATAAATCTGGTTGCAAAAATAACAAGCATCCAACCAGTTCTAAAAGTGGCTATATTACCATTCATCTCTTTTATTTGACACTTGTTTTTCAATAGATTAAGTTTTGATATCAATCTTTTAAAATGCATGATCACATTAACGGAACATCAGTCTGTTCCCAATATCAATTTTCCGCTAGGACATAATAAAGAACACCCTTGATTAAATTGAAAACGGTGTTCCCATCCAAACATTAAACCGGGACGAATCAATCTTACCCCCCCCCCCCCACACACACACACACACACACACAGTCCGGTAAAGGGGTACTTTTCACGCACCAAAGTTCGGCTCATAGTACACAAAAATCCGGCCCGTATTGACTTTACAAACCGGACTTGGGGGGGGGGGGGGGGGGTGTTTTCAGAAAGAGGGAACATGCATACGCGTACCCTAAATAACACTGAGTGGGGGGGGGGGGCGGGATCTTACCTCGATGAGGTTTCCTTTAGCATTGAAGATGAGCTGGTAAAAGAAGAACACGGGAATGTTGAGCATGGTCATTAGAGCCAGGATCCAGCCGATCATGTAGCCCCACCACGGGTACACATAGGTGTTGTTGTATGTCAAGGGTTTGTACTTCACAAGACTGAAGATGAAGATGGCCTGCAAGAGAGGAAGAACGTCATATTATGATTGCTTGTCTGAAGAGCTCTTGAATTGTTATAGGGAAGATTATACAGGTTATAGGAGGATGGGTGGCCCCGGTGGATCTGAATGTCCCCTTTTGGGACACCTCAGATGCATGTGTATTAAAACTAATATTAATGTCAAGTTTCGACTCAAATTCAAGGCCCTCAGCCCCCCCCCCCACACACAAAAAAAGTGTTGATCTAGCCCTGTAGGATCATTCATTCATTCATTCTTGTGCATCTGAGAGAGTGAATATATAAATGAACCATTTTGAGAGTGCAAAAAAAAGTAATCGTGGTAATCATTTTTCATCTTTAAAAAGATGTTGATGTCCCTTTTTGAATGTGAAAGAGATTTCTACCTCAAAGAATCACATGAATTACTCAAAGTGAATGTGTTTTGTTCAGATCAACATTCAGATTTGGCTGCGAATACAAGAGCAAAAATTCGCCCAATCATGTGATATGGGTTATAATACAACTAATTTCCACTCTAGTTCAGTATGATAATTATATTAGCCTTGAGAGATTATTGCAAAACAGTTACATTACAACAGATTGCGTCTGTGGAACAGAATATTAGCCTTAATATCATTATCTTCCAAAGATGTGTTCCACGTGTTCCCTAAAATAGCATCGAAATTAAATTGGAGGAAAGCCAAACGAAGCCTACATGAAATGTTTATACAAGTAACAAACGAAATGAAGCTCAATGACAAAGTAGTTAAGCAGATACGTTGGCAATAAAAGAATGAACTTTTGTTTGAACGATCGAGACTTGGCTTGAATTAAGCTGGAAGTGATCTTCTTTGATCATATACGAAAAAAGCGATCTGTTCATTTAGCCCAATGTCATGGCAAGTCAGTTTCATTTAATATAATTGATTGAAAGTTTGGGGTATACATAATGTCGGCACGAAAACCTAATACATAAATAGTTGTGAGATAGGGGAGAAATGAACAAGATGCAATAAAAGATTCACAGAAGAAAATGCAAACAATTAGAAAAAAATAGAAAGCTAACTAATTGATACTTGTCCAAAAACGATGAACAATTTGAGAAAATTATGGTAACATAATTTTCCAAACAAGGCGGACAAACAAAAAATCACCCAGCAATTAAAAGTTGATAATTAAGATTAACCTTTGCTGATATTCTTTTCTTTCTTTACTTCTTTCATGTCTTGATACGATTTCCCTCTATTTAATCGTTAACATATGGATTGTCTCGTATAGTTTTATTGGGATAATTTTTTGTTAAACATATAAGAATTATCTTTTGGGTGATTTTTCTCCATTAATGAGTGTAATTGAGTGTCATAGACGTGTATCAATCAGATATGCTGATTTACGTCTGGCGACCGACCTTTCGCGTCGTCATCCGAAAGACGTTAGAACATTTTTTAATACACAGTTTATTCACATAGGCTAATGTAATATGAAATGATTGGTTACTTACAAAAGTGAAGAGCGGGGAGAGGAAAATCCAGGCTGTTATCATGTAAGGGGAAATCCATTTCACCCCAGACATCTCAGTTACATTCTTCATGAAGCGAAATCCACCTGTAAGATAAAATTATATAGATCAATCCAAATGATATCTCTACATCATAAAAGGGGGCTGTTAAAGCCCCATGGCTCTGGCCCCAGGTAATATTTGGCTTGGGCCAGCCGGTTAAGTTGTCTGATGTCCTCAGTCTAGCTTTTGTTCTGGAGTGCTTGACAATTTGTTTTCTTCTTCAGAAGGTCCAAGGCAAATATTCGTCAGTATCCAATATCAAACTGGGGAGGCTAAACTCACGTTTAGCCGGCCAGGCTCCCTTAGGGGGTGACACCCAGGCTTACATCCCAAAGGGCTGTGAAGGGGGAACACCCTGTTTCAGTCTTAGGAATAAGTGGCTTACGGCCCCTGGTAATACTTAGGTCATCTGGGTCAGTCATATCATGTTCTATAACGTTTGCTCTGTACTACATTTATTTTGATGGTTCCACCATGAGAATCCATTGAAATTTATAATAATCTATAACAAAATTGTGATTTTTTTTTTTTTAATTAGTGGGGGGGGGGGGGGGTATTTGTCTGTTTATTGTCAGCACTTACTGAGACCTATGTCTCCTTTCACAAAATACTCTAGAGCCTCCCATGCTCCATCTATGTTTCAATCTAGTTCACAATCTTCCACCCTTCCCTCATACATTATGAGTCACCGTTTCCTCCTTAAATATATCCATCAATCCACCTGGAATTTCCAACCTTCCCCTGTAAGTCTTTCATTCCCCTGTAAAACTGTCACTCCTCTCTCCATCAACTTTATCTGTCCATGTCATCATGTTCCACCCTTCCCGTATGACTCGACATTATACCACAAGCCCATCCATCTCTTCATCTTCTACCCCTCTTAAACAATCCACCTCATTACACTTGACCTACCGTAAGCCCATCCAATGGTGATGCTCTCAAACATAGACACCCACAGAAGAACGAACCCACTGGCTGCATAGTAGTCGAACAATTGGAAGATATACATGCCTCCCTGCAGTGTGATGAAATATAATGAGGAAATCAAATGTCAATTAATCACATTCTTACAACACTGTGTCTGGCATTCCTATACCCATGTTAGACCAAAATGTAATATCTAAACCTATATCTGGGGGCGCGCAGACATAATTATTAAAGGGGCATGTTCCCCGTATTCCAGAGGGCGTTCAAAATACGTACGCGCTGGCGGACGGCGCTATAGCTGCCTATTGACACCAACAGAATACGGTTCTTACGCATATGGCATGTTCCGATAACTACACTGGCGGGAACGTGCCCCTTTAAGTATCGCGTACCGTTATTGGTGTCAGCGCTGGAGATCGCTTTAAAGCAAACCTGTCTCAGACCACCTTTTGATCTGGTCCCGGGGCGCCCCTATAGTTGTAGTCATTTTCATGCTGTATCGAGCCTTTCTAAGGGAAGATGCATGGATGTAACAACATGAAAATTCAAAAAACATTCATAATCACATTAATTTCATTATGTCATAATATTGACCATGATTAAGAATAGCCAAAGCTTCATTATTTTGTGAATGCATTTAAAAGAGTCACCATGGAAATTATTTGTCACTGGGGCATTTCCATTTTGTCTTTTTTTATTTCTCAGCCTAACTGTGAAATGTGCGCAGATTCAATACATGTTTTGAGAATCGTGAGCATTCCTTATAATGCGCTGCTCCAATAATTTAATGAGCATAGCGCTTTCTTGGTGTCAATTTGTTATATGCTGCTTACTACTTTCGGACAATGGGCACAAAGGAAATTTATGTTTTCCGTCACAATCGTTTCCTAATTGATTTCTTGCGAAGTTGTAAATCCTCCGTATTCTCTTCTTTTGCCAAGCTATACAATTTACACTTTTATAAGGTCAAGGGGATACAGTTCTAATGAAGGAATGCAAGTCACCAATTTAAGTTTTAAATTTTAGCGCATTTACCTGATAAATACACGTATATCACAGCTTCTACTTGACGTATGGACGGCTCTTTCAATTCGTGTAAGAGCTATCGAACAATGTTTTCAATAAAGGATATTTGTTACCCCCTCTATTTTGCGGCCGCTGTAGTAATGAAATGCTTCTTACCAATCGCCATTCTACCTAACATGAAACAGCAAAGATGGGTGTACTTTTTTACGCTGCCAACCGCAGATCCCAACTCTATTATTTGATCTTATTATGGCGCACTTTCAGCGCAATGTGATATGGCCAAAACGGCGGGAAAAAAGCCATGCATTGGTAAATCGATCTCCTCTATATCGTGGCTAACATATATTTGGAATGGGTGGTTCGTATTTCCCTCTACTCTTTCGAGTTAAGACATTGCAATATCGCGACGGCCTTCTCTGCTAATACCCCCGAGCAACTGGAATATCCGAGTCAGATCTTATGCCAGTCGCCTGGTGTCTGGTATGGATATATGATTACAGGGATACTCTTGCCGTCAATATAGAGTCAAGTACTGACATTTCAAGTTTATCTAGATGCGCATAGATGTATGTACATAATCATACTCTTGTATCCCTCATCCAACTGCAGGCATATTATCTTCTTTCTGATTCTTTCCAAAACTTTGAATCTTTTGCAATCCAAATTTAATGTTTATCGTTGATCTCCCTGCATTGACTTCTGTTCACGCTGTCTTTGAAATCCCACAATGTTAATGCTAAACTTGAGTTTTGGTAGGCCCCTAATGGAATTATATTTCTAGGAAATCTGGCTAAAGTAGATTTGCATTGTCTGATCGTTAGACCATAACAATAAAATAATGATTTGAAAGTAAATGAAACTTGCTGAAATCGATTTAACTAAAAAAAAAAAGCTATTCATTTTTTGTTAAAAACCCGAATAGTTCATAATTATGAGACATGTACATGGGTTTGGACGTTTCGTTGGATTTCGTGAGATTTCATTTTCCATCCATAACAGAATGGGAAGCAAGAAATATCAAGAAACTGAGAATTTCCCCCTAATATTAACAAAAGAGTTAATAACATAATTAGAAATAATGGAAAAATATGAATGTGTTACTGACTTACGTAAGTACACATGGGTATCCCAGCGATGCAGAAGAACAAACATACGAAGATACAGAAGATTTCACGACGATGTCCCTTCAGAAGGGTGTTAGGAAACAAGTCTACGATCGTCGCTACGAAGCCCTCGACGCCCACAAACTGATGACGAAAATAAGAAGGAATAATACATATAGATTAAGACAGTGTGAATAAGAAAACAAATCAACAATTAGAAATAAGAACATCATTTATAAGGGACATTTGAAACAAACTTTTTTGTTCGTATGAAAAAGGTATATCGAAGTTTGATATACATCCTGTATAATGATGTCTATGGTGGCCCTGAAGGGACATCGCGAATAGACTAAATCGTGAAAAATATGCGATAAAATTCACGATATCGTCAATTTTATCGCATATTTTTCACGAAGAAATTCACGAAATTGACGATATCGTGAACTTTATCGTAAACTTTTCACGATGAAATTGACGATATCGTGAATTTTATCGTGAAAAGTTCACGATATAAAGTTCACGATATCGTCAATTTTATCGTGTACTCTATCGTGTACTCTATCGTGTACTCTCCTGACGGGCGCTTCGTAAACAAAACCATGCTGGGGGAGACAGAGAGAAGGAAAAAAGGGAAAGGGAAAGAGAAGATAAAAGGAAAGAAAGAATAATAAGAAGAAAAGAGGGAAACGGGGGGGGGGCGAAGGGCTCTTGCCTCCTCCTCACTCCCCCCCCCCGCCAAAAAAATAAATAAGGAGAGAGAGAAGGGAAAGGGAAAGGGAAAGAAAATATAAAAGGAAAGAAAGAAGAGGAAGAAGGAAAGAGGGAAATGGGGGAAGGGCGAAAGGCTCTTACCTCCCCCCCCCCCCCCGCCAAAAAAAAAAAATAAGAGAGAGAGAGAGAGAGAGAGAGAAGGGAAAGGGAAAGAAAGAAGAGGAATAAGAGGGAAACAGGGGAAGGGCGAAGGGCTCTTGCCTCCTCCTCCCCCCCCCCCCCCCCGCCAAAAATAAATAAGAGAGAGAAGGGAAAGGGAAAGAAAATATAAAAGGAAAGAAAGAAGAGGAATAAGAAGGAAAGAGGGAAACGGGGGAAGGGCGAAGGGCTCTTGCCTCCTCCCTCCCCACCCCCCGCCAAAAAAATAAATAAGAGAAAGAGAGAGAAGGGAAAGGGAAAGGGAAAGAGAAGATAAAAGGAAAGAAAAAAAGGAAGAAGAAGAAGGAAAGAGGGAAACGGGGGCGAAGGGCTCTTGCATCCCCCCGCCCAAAAAATAAATAAGAGAGAGAGAGAGAGAGAAGGGAAAGAGAATAAAAAAGGAAAGGAAGAAGAATAAGAAGAAAAGAGGGGCTCTTGCCTCCTCCCCCCCCCTCCCGCGCCAACAAATAAATAGGAGAGAGAGAGAGAGAGAGATAGAGAGAAGGGAAAGGGAAAGGGAAAGAAAATATAAAAGGAAAGAAAGAAGAAGAAGACGGAAAGAGGGAAACGGGGGAAGGGCGAAAGGCTCTTACCTCCCCCTCCCCCCTCCCGCCATAAAGGGAAAGAGAAGGGAGAGGGAAAGAAAATATAAAAGGAAAGTAAGAAGAGGAAAAAGAATAAGAAAAGAGGGAAACAGGGGCGAAGGGCTTTTGCCTCCTTTCTTTTCTTTCTTTTCCTTTCTTTCCTATTCTCCCTCTTTTTCGTTTTTCTCTTTCTTTCTTCTCTTTCCCTTTCCTTCTCTCTCTCTCTCTTATTTATTTTTTGGCGGGGGGCGGGGGGAAGAGGCAAAAGCCCTTTGCCCCCGTTTCCCTCTTTTCTTCTTCTTCCTCTTCTTTCTTTCCTTTAATATCTTCTCTTTCCCTTTCCCTTTCTCTTCTCTCTCTCTCTCTGATTTAATTTTTGGCGGGGAGGGGGGGGGGGGAGTGAGGAGGAGGCAAGAGCCCTTCGCCCCCCCCCCGTTTCCCTCTTTTCTTCTTATTATTCTTTCTTTCCTTTTATCTTCTCTTTCCCTTTCCCTTTTTTCCTTCTCTCTGTCTCCCCCAGCTAGGGCTGGTTTTGTTTACGAAGCGCCCGTCAGGAGAGTACACGATAGAGTACACGATAGAGTACACGATAAAATTGACGATATCGTGAACTTTATATCGTGAACTTTTCACGATAAAATTCACGATATCGTCAATTTCATCGTGAAAAGTTTACGATAAAGTTCACGATATCGTCAATTTTGTGAATTTCTTCGTGAAAAATATGCGATAAAATTGACGATATCGTGAATTTTATCGCATATTTTTCACGATTTAGTCTATTCGCGATGTCCCTTCAGGGCCACCATAGATGTCAGCTTGTTTAAAGTGCAGGAGTATATATATCCAGGCCTGGCAGAAAGGATTGGCCGAATTCTTTCCCCAAATTCATGAAAATCCACCCTGCTCTTCCAGACTCCCTTGACAGGGAATGTTTACGCATTGTCAAACCCCGCGTGATTTCTAAGAGGGTATATAGGAGTATTTCTTTATTTAGCGACAAGACATTTTGATCTCTTTTTTTTTAAAGGACGCATGACCGCTGAAGAACACTATTGAATCCGCCCATGAGGTGGACATGATATAGAATGAACTCAACGTGACACCAGGGACGTATAAGTCCCTGATCACATCTTTTTAAGGACTAAAACCCCATCACCGCGACACCTATATTGATTTTGTTTAAAAATGCCATAGCAGTTTTTCGAGCTTTCAGACATGACCTAATCCTGATCTGTGCACACACCAGGGTTACTTTATATGGAATCTATGAATCATAAACCAAAGATGTATAAGTAACATTAAACTGCGGAGAATGCATGCTACACGTGTAAAGCTATTTGTGACGAGGAAATGAAAGTACAATTTGCCAAGTCTATCTCCATGAATATTTCATCGTGTTCGACGAGGCGAGAAAATTCTATCACGAAAGGCAAGTCAGTAAATAATATATCGTATAAGCTGTGGTAATTTTCCACGCACGAGTAGAATTATTCATTGTCGACTGACGACTAAATACAGATATATCTATGAATCTATGAATCATAAATCAACGATGTATCAGTAACATTAAACTGTGGAGAATGCATGTTACACGTGTAAAGCTTTTTGTGACAAGGAAATGAAAGTACGAAAGGTTGACCTGTGCGCTATACAAGTAGCCATCACCACTATACTGTTTGACCTACTTTTAAATTTATCGACCCTTGCATTTGATTATTGATTTACGCATTTATTTTAGTTCTAATGTATAACAAAAAACAAAGCTCTATTTAAAATCATTATTCCATGGGTGAAAATTGCAACGGTTCATTATTTTTGTCCCTTTCGATTACCTAGTAACCATAGCAATGGCATACAATTACATTTCTTAATAACCAGACCATTATGCACTAGATAAGTAGGTGTAACATTCCATTATATAGCTTTACACATGGAATCAACCAATTAGGTTACATAGCAAAAAGGACATCGGCAAAGACACACGTTTTGTTGTAACATTTGGAACTTTTTTTTCTACGCTCCCATTTAAAATGCTATTTAACCTGAGCCTTTATCTAAAATACTAAGATGGAATAAGTGAAATGTAAAGCGGTCACCCTGTCAAACTTGACACAGTTCTAAAAGACAAATAAAACTTTCAAGACACAAGTGTAAGATGATATCTAACTCCACTATCTGTTTGCTCTTTGACTTCACCATTATATCGACGCCGTATACCACTCCACTACGAGTTTGTACCCATCGGCGTCTTTGACAATGACGTCACGGGGCCCTAAACTTTCCTGACAGTTTGAAGGATGAATAACTCGTCTAAACAAGCCGTCAAAATAGAGATGAACGATAAGTCCCTTGCTATGAATGAAAATACATGCTCATAAAAGCGAGATTAATCGCGAACATGACAGGTATGTCCTCGTGGAGTCACCTATTCATAAAAAACCACGCAACACCAAAGTGCTATGGTTGACGGAGAAGATCCATATTTAAATATCAGTAAATATTTATTTCTTCTTTTATGTCTGATGAGCAGCCTTAATCCCTTAATGCGCTTTTTGTATTAAGCAATTACTGATGACGCGCAGAACAAATCGTTTTCATATCATAAATTATTCATAGCGCTTGCTACGCCCAAAGCTCATCTGACACGAGAAGCGTTTTCATTTTCACTTTACAGCCTTTGCAATCCCACTTCATCATTAACAGATAGCCAAAGGAGATTTTTTCCACCAACAATCCATCTTGTAACCATTTGGGACCTAACTTTTCTCCAATGTATCGACCTCATCTATAAATATGTCATTTTTATTTCGGCACTCATTTAATTTCCCAACCGCGTAAAGAGGTGCAAATTTAACGTGTCCTCTTTCTGAAATCCTCGATCCTCTTGTATCTGCAATTGATCTGCATTATAATGATAAAACCCTCGGAGGTAATTTGAAATTGATGAAATGATTAGGGTAGTACATTAATGAGATCTATTAAGTCGAATCTCGAACTCGAGAATCCCCTGTTGACTTAGCAAATCCCGTTGTTATTGGTTTGTCCCAATTTAAAATGTTGCAATGACCTGAAAATAAATGTTATCGCATTAATGGCATGAAGTAAGTCTAAGAGTAGAACAAACTGACAGAGAATAAGCATAACCCGAAACCCAGATATATAAACTTGAGCATCTTGTCTTAAACCACCAAATCCTTTATCTCCCCTCGAGATGGCGCAATTGGAACACCTAGAGGGGGTAATACGCTTCCTTGGGGAACTTCGTCAACACCTTGTACGTTGCTTATCTGTGTCTGTATCTGTGTTATTAAACATCACATTTGAGATACTTGTATTAGATTTAACCGTATTCCTTTCTATCCCATCCCTGTCAAAGTGATATATTATTCAACGACGCAGTAATGTGAAGTGAGGAATAAGAGACATTACATGAACGGCAATACATGCATGCAGGTCAAAAGTAAGGGGCACTGCACCGTTCACTAGCAAATTTATAATAGCGAATCAGATGACAAACAATTTGAGTTTCGTATTTCCAACAACTTTTTAAAAAAAATGAATAGTTCGCATTTTATAAGTGGTTAAGTTCTCAATTCTAATATAGATGTGATTGTCCTTTTGTACTTTTTAAAAATATTATGTTCATATTTTACAGTAATGTTTTTCCCTTGCGTACAGGAGATTTTAACCGGGGCAGATCGCTATTAAGTGCCACATTCCTCCTTGTATTCTTAACTGTCACCAAAATACATTATTATCAACAAAATTCTTGAAAAAACCAATACATCTTTAGTTGAAAATAATCTCTTCAAATCCACTTAAAAATAGTTATACAACTGTACAAGATTTTTTTCTCGCAAGCATCGATTCCCACATTACTAAAGTCACATTATACACACGTACATAGTAATGAGTTATCAACATATTAATTCATAGTCATCATCATCAACATCACTTATCCTTTTCCCAAAAGTATTATAACCAAGAAAACCGTCAACGAAATATGGCACCAGCAAGCCAACACTATTAAGGTCACATCACCACACCACAATTAGTTCCACCACTCGTATCACTACTCTTACTACCACCACCACTAACAACAATAACAACAACAACAACATAATCACCATTAATACCATAACTTACACTACACTCAACGACACGACCTGCAGCACAGACAGTACACACTTATTGTATAAAACAAACGATCAAAACTTCACATAGGAACATCACCGAAAACGCCAAACGTGCAAATCCACCGTGCATGACGTGTAATGACAAAAGATAAAACAATTAACAGGAAAATGGAAGCCCAGAACTATTTGAGTATAATACCACCTGGGGGTGTTTCATAAAGCTGTTCGTAAAGTTACGCATGACTTTACGAACGACTTGTATATTAAAAGCCAAATGGGATGCTCAATCATTATTGATTATTATTTATTAAGTTGAACTGTGCAGATGTAGATTAACATTCTTTTTCAACAACCATTTGTAATGCAAAGTATATTTTTTGCCATAATTTAATTGAGGTTATTGGAAATATCAGGAAAAAATTTGGGCATCCTATCTGACACTTCATATAAGTCGTTCGTAAAGTCATGCGTTACTTTACGAACTCTTTATGAAACACCCCCCAGCATCAATATCCTATACCCTGGTTCCTGGACTAAAGCCCATCGAACATAACACGACTTGACTACGTTCAGATTTTGGAAGAATTTGCAGTAGCATTTGATATGAACATTCAAAAAAGTAAAATCTTATGATCAGATTTAAATATGCTCAATAAAATCTCAATTTCAAGGGATTATAAACTTTCTTTGAGTTTGTTTAGATTCAAATCTTTAAATCAATTGTCAAATCTTCGAACATAGGAACACAGGACGATCGTTGAGTAAGCGGTGGGCTTTACCCGACTGTCTTTACCCAGGACTATAGGAACCAACTCTACCAACACCATCATCACCATCGCAGAATGGGGGTAAATCATTCATGTCCTCACCTGACTGTCTATACCCAGGACTAGGAGACAGAGGAAGAAGAGTACAGCCCAGAGGGTGGAAGCAGGCATCTGAGTAATAGCCTCAGGGTACGCAATGAAAGCCAATCCTGGACCTAAATGAAGAAAGAAGCAATTGAAACAGTTACATCATTATCTTTCATAGGACGTAAGAGTTGTTAAGGTAACCGCGATAATTTGCAGCACGACCTTGAAATAATTACATATTTTGATAGTTTATTTTTAAAAAAAATGTCATAAGCAGATAAGAGGGACATGAGCCGCTAGCACGAGCTTAGCTTGCTGGGATGGGAACAAGGGCACTTTCACCACCCCCACCCACCAAAAATGGTTTACTTTCGAGTATCTGTTGGTATAAAGTAAATAAAAATTAATCTGTCGGAACAACACGATCATATTTTTGTCGAGACATTTTGCATGAGTGTGATTGACTTTATACTATTGCTGCATTGCTTAAGTTTGTGAAAGTAATGTATACAATGCATTTTGTAGCAATATCTACGAAAGATAGTATACGAATTGTCTTTTTATGATCGTTTTATTCAAAAACATCCGAGGGAATTGCTATACTCTGGTGACCTTTCTCATGAAGGTAATGTACATCTACAACGTGCGACAGAATGAATCATGAAAGGTCAAATGCCATGTTCAAGGATGTCATGTTGGAATTCAGGATGAAAAAACAAATCAAAACCTGATAACCTTGTACTTCATCACGTTTAGGATTTCGCTTTAGATGAACCGTGGTAAGCCTGGTGAGGGTCGGTTCAATCAATTTGTCAAAAATCATTTTACGATTTGAATCACAAGTACATTACTGTATTTCAGAATGGGACTTGTAAGGTATGGCGTTACGATGGTTACTTGAATTGAGCCTTTTTTCAACGACATCCCTTTTCCGAGCCCGGACACCCACCCCGACTTCTAACGTTTTAATTCATCATTATCCTACCCGATGGCTGCGAGATGTCAACCATTCATCACGGAGAAGATTACTGGAATCTGATATTCTGAGAAGAAAGAGAGCAAGACTCTTGTTCCCTTCTCCACAAACAACTTCTTGATCCTCTTTACATGAGCTGCAATCGTCTCTCCCATCCCATCTCAGTCTATTCTGTATGTATTTCTGAGTGTATTATGATTGCAAACATGCAGGAGAGATGGGCGAATTGCCAGATCTCCAGATAAATCATTTTGTGATCTCTATTCCCCTTTAAAAAGGCATCCCCTGGATTCTCATATAATCCATGGACACGACACTGGATATGGCTAAATAAATGTAGCCGTGACAGCCCATCGCTTGGTGTGTTTGATCTACGGTCGGATGCCGTGGTCGCAGGAAACCCAGTCGCTGTTCAACGATCACGCGCGTACTTAGCATAGTGCGCGACCATCGATCGATCGGGCGAAATATGATCGTCTGCCTGCACGCCGCAGCGCAGTCGGACTTCAGTTTATTGAAGGATATCGCTTGAAAAATAAGACATCATGCAGACATGAAACTTGAGAGGTCATCGGACACGACGAGATGATAAGATGAGACTTTTGACAGACTTACTCGATACATGTACTGTACACGCTTTTCCCAAACAAATCGGGCCTACCCTGATCAGAATATGTGTAAGTCCGTTTGTTTGTTTGTTGATTGTTTTCTAATTCTTTAAATCCCCCGAAACTGGAGTGGAGTATCGAGACGAATGCAACAAAAGTTGTACATTAATATATTCAGTCCTATTGTGCTATGCCATGTGAGTATCCATCGTGAATTCAATTGCATATTTACCCTTTCAAGAATAAGGTTAGATGACATGATTAATCATATCTGATCACGCTGAACAAACGCATGGATATCCCCATAACGGCGTCCCGTGTCGTTTCATAAAGTACAATTAATCGACCATCAGAAGACTGGTAAATGCTTGCCACACATGTTATTACTGAAATACTTTAGGAAAAGAATTTGAATATCTAGGTATGTTAAGACCAATGCCAAATTTGTATAGCCTTTCGTCAGTTTAAATTCTTTCTTGTCGATGTTGTCAAATGTATATTGCTTGTGGTAAAGCATCCCTTTACATTGATTGAATAATATTCTTATTTGAAAAATCATATCATTATTGTCTTATTTCCCGAATAAGGATATCGACCTGAAGGTCTTTGTATAACAGACTTTCGAGATATCATGTAAACATTACTGTATTTAATCATACGAAGAAATATGAGGAATTATAAGAATCGTTGACACAAACGGAAGTGTATTTTCACGCTGAAGTGACTTTGTGATAATATCATCAATTACCGAATTGACATGATTGAAGGCCGATGGCCTTTCCGTATTAACAACTAACACCAGAAGAAAAAGAACTCGATTTGCAGATAAATGGATGAGCTAATGAGGATAGAGGATAAATATAGGGCGAATTTGCGGTTTTGTTCCAATGGAATTCAGGTCGTGTGGTGTTTTTGATGGGAAATCCACACCTCGAGGTGTCGATACAAAGCCAATGTAATAATCATAATTACATATTCGTATTGTGTGAGATTGAATTGGCAGACAGCCCGGCCGGGGCTCGATCCTTTGTTCCAGAACATAAATTAGCACTTAACATTCCCGCGCTCTATCATGGCATGTGTGTGAATGTATGTAAGTCATCTCCATAGTACTATGAACAGGGTGGAGATGGGAGATCTGTATGTATATAGTGGCTGTCAGGATTATTGGCATAGAAGGATTTTTTTACTCGCTCATGAGAGCTTGGGTCATATAAAACCCAAACATGTTATAAGTAATAAACAAAACAAAAATTTTTAATGTTAATTATTATGTATAGACGGGAACAAGCATTTTTAGTGCTTATAAACATTGTTAAGAGATGAGAATATTACAGTCTATACGCAATCATTCAAAAGGGCAAACTTGCAGCTCTCAAGTGTATAAAGATTTGCGCATTCATTGGCACGCAATGAGCAAAATCCATTTGGTTCTTGATCCTTTTGTACGTTGACATGGCGTTGCAAACTACAGTTTCTTTCCATCTTCAATGATTTGATTCAACTATATGAAACTAACATTGTAGCTGGTATATCTTCAAAAAAGTAAACATTATTCTATCACCTGATAACTGACTGTGTTAATTTGGAAAGCTGTCTCTCATTCCATGTCTTACAACATGGTAATTTCAATTTGAATCATGTTTTCCCCTCTTTTTTTCGTCAATACAACTTTTTCGAGACGACTTTCGATTTTGTCCTCCCCCTCCTCAAAGCATCTTTTCCTTGGAGGATGACTGTTTTATCGAACGAATTTGCGAGCACGTCGTCTTGGTTGGAAAAAAGAGCATTGTGGCTAGATCTTGAGAGAACTGGGGCAACATAAACGGATTCAACATTATTGAAATAGCTGCCACGGGTCCCTTGAGCAATCATGTCTGTTCTCATCGTGGTTAAGGTGTTACTAAGAAAAAAAAATCTCTTTCGTGCTCTGGTCTGTATTTGAACAGCCGGATCGACTATAGACCGAGATTAAGGAGGCCATGAAAATTAGAGCAGTTCTTGCATGCAGCGTCACATAACCCCCCTTTCTCCCTCCCTTGGAAGATTTTTCATCGTTCTGTCTTAATATCAGAGAGCCCTGAATTTCGTTAAATATAGAATTCTTTCGCTGAAGTGGAATGAAAATGATAAAATCGCAACAATGGTGGAGGTGTTTGCGGGAGGATCCCCTGGTGTCCGGGCAATGTGTTATGCATACATGCAGAACGAGATGGAAAATAGCCAGAACAGAGTGTGATTAGAGTGGCAGAGAATGGTACAATCAGCCAATTTAATCAGTGAAAGTTGTCTTTGTTTGCATTTTTCACTTTCAATCTCGGAAGAAATGGTTGTATATACGACGGCTAGACGAGTGGGTTTGTACGCTTTCTCCCGTGAGGGGTAAGCTTCAGTGTTCACTTTACGAGGCGCCATTTGACGCTAGCTTACCCATCGATCGCTACTGAACAGGTGCCGCTGACTGGTGTTACACATGAAGTAATCACCCCATAATGCAACCCCGTCCCACTTTATAACGTCTTACTTTCATGCTTTGTACTTTTACGGGGTTTTTCGGGGGTGTTTTTTGTACCCAGTCAATAATGAAACACCGTTACCATAACTTCGCATCATTGTTTACAACATTTCTATCGTGTAACACCTATCTTCAATGTTTCCATTTTTCAAATGATTTTATTTCTCACGCAAAACATAATACAATGAATAATTACAATACAAAAATATGCAATGAAACGACAAATATAGTAGAAAAAAGCACGGTAAAAGAGGAACTAACTAGAAGCAGAGCTTGTTGAAGTGTTAGTTCCTCAGATCTTCATCTTAGTATATTCTTAGTATATTCTGCCCCCCTCTACTCTTTTCCTACGACTCAATGTTTATCACATAACGATCCGATTTTCTCGTTTATATTGTATAATTTTCAAACAGGATATCGTGTATTATTATAAAGGAAAAACATTGCGAAACTGTTTCAGAGGAAAAAGAGGGATGAAAATTGTAACAATTCAAAGAGAGATTGTAGAGAAAGAGGGGAGAGCAAGAGAGTGATGGTGACAATGAAAGAGAGAGAGAGAGAGAGAGAGAGAGAGAGAGAGAGAGAGAGAAAGAGGAGAGAGAAAGGAGTGAGGGGGCAAAGTTACACAGGTAAGATAATCATAAACGCAAAATGAGAACGTACATGTAAGAAAGAGAGGAGGGGAAGACGGAAACAGAGATAGACATATATCCAGACAGATATCAAGATATACATTAAAACAGACAGACAGACAGACAGACATACATACGGGTGTAGTTACGCACCTGACTTGGCTACTACTGATACATCGACACCCTGTTGTCCAGCCATGAATCCCAGCACGGCAAAGATGACGAACCCGGAGTAAAGACTGGTTCCAGTATTAGCCACCGAAAATATCAAAGCATCCCTGAAAGAAAAGAAAGAAATAGTCGATTAAGATTTAAATAGCCCGCCGTTTAATTACCATTTCAATTTCCAACACTATAACATGGCACAATTTAGGAAAAAACAATATTTTATCCCATCTTTATTGTACATCTTTTTTGTCAATCCTCGGAGTTTGACTGATTTCCCACCATCTACTTTATGTTCGGTCAGAAAAGTACCGCATTTACATGTGTTTTTTAATTCTACCTTTGCCTATATGAATATACAAATAGATAAGAATAGTAATGGGACGGCATTCAAATATATGGAGTAATCTTGATATTATTATGATCTTGAAAACGTTTATTTGATTTTATTAAGCTGTGTATTGAAACATGTCATGTGCTCTGTATCTCGACCCGTATTCTATATTACTAAATAACAAAATTGCCAGGTTCTGGCAAAACCAACTTTATCATAACCGAGTTCAAATTGATTGTTTCGTCTTCGTGTCACAATAGTCAAACGGTTCACCACATGTTGCCTACAGACTAATTCATTACAGCAAATTGTGATATTCTCTTCATAATTGATCCCTTTCTACGGGAGTCTTCTTAATCACCGTTAAACTTGACTTCGCGGTCAATTATAGGCATAGATATCGGCGCGCGAGTCTGATAATAGTTAATTAATACAGCGGCAGATCCTTAAGTGGCCGTAACGGGTTCAAATGGCGACATTGAAGCCGTACGAAGTCGCTCTCGACTCCGAAGTTTTTCACGAGCACGCCCGGGCGCGATGTGAGCGGGTCAACGCAAGGAGATGAGGAGGCAGGGGAGGGTAAACCGTGGTCGACGAGGGGGGATGGGACTTGTTCGCCAAGTCGACTGGAACAGGGCTAAATATCGCTTACATCTCGGGTGACTACTTGAGTCCAGTTTGGCAGACTGGAGTGAAATTTGAAAATGATGTCTAATGCGTCGAAGTCAAAGAGAGAGAGAGGGGGAGAAAGAGAGGGAGAGATACAGACAGAGAGAGAGAGAGAGAGAGAGAGAAGGGGGAGGTGTGAAATAGTGAATGAGAGATGAAGCTATCACTTTCCTCCGTGCTTTATCGACCAGATCAGATTGTATTCGTAGTCCCGTCTCAATCAAGAGCAAGCCGCGTAAGGGTTCACAGAATGATAATCAATCGCCTTGGGAAATCTGTTGAGTTTTACAGATTAAATCATCTTGATATTGACTATTTTGCGTGGAGGTGAGTTTACAAAGCAAATTGAAACCAAAAAAAACAACATTAAGTTAGATCCAAAAGATCTTTTACATTGCCTTCATGTAATACAAGTGGTTTTGTGATGGTATAAGAGATTAACATCGGGATTTATTTCAGAGGTGTTCAGCGCTAAGGGAAATATAATCATATTAAGCCGATAGCCGCAATGACTGCGCAGTAATTGCTAAAATGAGGTGCATTTTCAATGAATCGTCGCAATGTACCTTGCTTTCCATTCATTCATCTTCATCTTCATAGAGAGTGGGTAGTTTTGGCTCTGTTTCCGATCGCTTCATTGCCAGACCATAAATACGACCAAATATTCACTGGCGTCTATATTCTGAGTTCGAATCCTAGTGTACATCTCAGCCCCTCCAGTTTGATATTTTATTTCCGAATATTATACGGCGTTATTTTCGAAGCTCTTGACTGCAGAAGAAGTAAAAATACACCTTATTGCAATTAACATCAAGTCGTAATCAAGAACCCGACATGTCGACTCACAAGCGATAGCATTACAGTCTGAAGAATACTTATAAACTCCTTGCGTGTAACGTTACCCCCGCGCATAGTCGGGGAGTCGGCTCAATGCGAATCCAAAATGGTGCGCCTATTATTTCAGGTGTATACGAATAACAGAATTTGACCTTTGAAATATAGCATCATTCACATTTCTCTTGTTGGCAATGGAATACAGTCGAGCTGGGAAATGCAATCTCTAAAGCTCGCTATCTTAAGATATTAAAACCATTCCCATTACTTTTATATAGGTTTTCTGGTTTATTAAATGGCTCAAGCACGCATCGCATGGAGCAACGGCGCACGGTGTACATACGAGTAACTTGAATTGAGATAAGGATCTCGTATGGTATCGAAGAATGAAAGTGTTTTCAAGACATTTTGACATTTGATTCTGCATTTCAATTTCACTTTCATGATAAATCAATAACTGGAGTAGTTATGGGTTGCTGCGGATTCGCAACCCATCCCCCGCATGAAATATCAAGCTAAAGAACAATAGCGATTTTTATGCGAACAGAATTTGGCGTCAGTATTCATAAATAAATGATACGCGAACATAAAAATAAGATAACAAGAATCTATTATGTTCGTTTTTTTCCATGCCGTGTACATCGCTATACTGCAAAGTCTTTGAGTGTTTTTAGATGCCTTATACACACTTCAAATAATGACATATCTTGTCCCGTGAGACCATAAAACAACGCAAACATATTTTCGTCCGTTGATCATAAAATAACAATCATAAGCTAAATATGACGGCGGGCATATTGAAATCTCAAAGGGTAAACTGCGTGACTTCCTAATCAATGGTCGGGGTATTAGACCGACAGATAGGGGCCGCCATGATGAATATGAATGAGATTAGAGGATGTCTTGGGAAGGGGGGGGGGATCCTAAACAGCCCCTGGGTCTGATGGATCACTCAAGGAGGTATAACCAAATATGATGTTCCTTCCTTGAATAAAATGAAAATACACTGTTTAAAGATAAAGTGGTGCATCGGTCACTCGATTGCTTGGAAAGAAAACTGATCGTAAAAGGAGTTAGTAATTGGGAAATGTGGATATGTATGTGTAACGATAATTACGTATTGAAAGGTTTAGAATCATTAACATTCTTGTTTGCAAAATGACTCGATGCTGAAAATCAAATACAGCGAAAAACTCCGTACACGCGTAGAAATATTTTTTAAAGCTTTATATTTATTTCTTGTCATAATATCTTTTATACCAAGGCATTTCGAGAAAGTCATTTTCATATTAAATAGCTACTATGATATTCTTTCAGAAAGAACTATGAAGAATGAGAAGATCCATAAATTCATATTCATCTTCCCAAGAACTCGACTTCCACTTCATGGGATTCGATAGCAACGATTTATTAAATGTTTTTTATTATAAATCTCTGAACGTTTTTGTAAGCGGTAATACGATAAGTGATTGGAATCAGATGGTAGGTTTTTCGACGATGCAAATAATTCGAATAAATTCAGGATGACGCCAAAATAAATCGAATTCATAGCAGTCCCATTCAAATTATTTTCTAGAGAGTGATGGTCAACCTTATTGTCATAATGTGATGTGTTATGGTTGGCTTTAAGGAGGCCTCAAATATTATATTAGAAATTGTCTGCAATGATGTAAGCCACCATTAAGATAATAATGACAAATTTCATGTCTTTGTTCTCCTCATTGTGAACAATTAAACATGCATGTGTCTGTACTACATCACGTGGTTTAATCCAATATGATGCAGCAGGTAAAAGCTTATTTTTGACATTGAAAGTGATAACAGTTATTAATAATGGCGGTTACTAATTTATATTGAAAATAATGAACCTTTTTTTTTAATCATGGTCATTCTAAATAATGTATTATAGGATAAACTATAGCATAGGATTTTGCACAAAGCTGCATGGCTTTCAAATAGAAATTTCATTGTATCAAGTTTTATCAAATAAAAACGTCAAAGAATAATTTAACGTTGAATCGTGAAAAGAATATAAAAGGAAGAAGATGGATGAAATTCTTAATGTCCTTATTTACTCGGCCAGCTTTGGTCGAAAATATTGTTATTCATGCAAATATATTGTTAATTATAAAGATCGGCTTTAAACCTTGGAATGTTTTCTCTGCTCGGCTCATGAATCAGCCAGGCTCTCGGAGTATTCGCTCAATTACACCGCTGGGAATGGATGGTCTATAAAGAGACTGTGAATCTCCTACTTGAAATGAAGATGATGTTTTCTTTTAATCTCTATCGATTGAAGAGAGGTGAAGAAGCAGACTCGAGGCTTAAACCGGGCAAGCTCCTTACCAAAGATTAAAAACGAGGGAGATAAACGCCTGCAGGATGCCCCCTATACCTGTATGACACGCGTGAAAAGTCTCGCTTGATTTCAAAACCACTTATCTTCGGTGGAGAAAGAACTTTGGGTTGTTGGTGTCTGCTATATAGAGATGTGCATCTATCTCAATGTTTGGAGATGTATGCATGCCAGAGGGAAGAACATGTCAATGAAAATATTTAATCTTTTTTTACAACATTTTGATGATGGTATGACTTGAGAGGAGATTGCATTATTGATTTCTAAAAGTTTTTAATTTATTTTAAAGTAAGTTTTTCCTTTATTGTGACAGCAACTTTTACAACGCATATTTTTAAAAGAAAAAAAAAGAAGCAAACTAATATATATATACATTTTATTATAGAATTAGACGTGAAATCTATTTTCTTTGAAAGTGAGAAATCAAATCGAATCAAATCAAATTCTCAAACACACGTAAATCTGGGTAGTTAATTTTGCTGCATATAATCAAACTCGGGATGCACACGATATCTGTTTAATTATTGTGGATTTCCCTACGCAACTTAAAATAGAGAAAGAAAGAAAGAAAAAGTCAAGTCAGAATCCATCACCTCTCCGAAAGGGACTGAAGTTGGACAGCAAGACATTTTGGAGAGGTACACGCTGTCATTTTTTTGGTATGAGATAATTTTTTGGAATTGCATTGTACGAGGAAAAAAATTGCCGTTCCCGTTTATGAAAATGGCTGACGTAGGTTAGGAATTGAAAATTTGCGACATGTAGGTTTTTTCATTTCTAATTTGCCCAGTTGTCTGCTTTCAGTAATATAACCTGGTTAATAAAGAAGTATTCTTTGTTGGACGATATTTTGAAGTAGATAGATAACTTGCGGTAAGGCAATTAAAGGAATTGATAGGATTCGCATTTAAATCCTCTGCTCCGCGCGTCCACTTATTGGCCGGCATCCTCTCAGTAAAATATTGCTTTTATCCTGCACTAGTCCCGATATTTTTCATAATTTTTTACAGAAGGCTCAGCTAGTCTAAGCTTCGTCAGGCCCAAGTTAATTTACCAGACAGGCCATACATGATCTCAAAAACATGAAGACTCCTCAAGAAACCATGCGATTATTTGTTTTGATGTAGTTTGCATTTCAACTCTAAAGACGTTTGTGAAACATAACTTTGCATATTGCAGAATATCGCAAATTTAGCATTTTCCCATGCAGGGTCTCCTATATTTCGCAGTATAAAATTATCAGGGGTTCCTTTATTCAATTTTAAGGCTTAATGAACCACCTCCCAGGAGTTCCTATATTTCGCAGTATCTCAGGAGTTCCTTCCTAGTATATCCTAGGAGTTCCTATATTCCGCTGGCATGTAATAGGAGGCATGTTAAAATATCAACTGAAAGAAGTCTGTTCTGGAAGGCTAGACAACGAAAACATAGTCGTACGCCTAGACGATGTCCTCTCTCAACTCACGGCTTAAACAAGGGTGCTGAAAGTCGTGCTTTATCGCGAAACTCGTGAGGGGCGGGAGAAGGAAAGAAAGAGAAACATTCACACATGAACACCCATGTACTTTGCTTCCATCAAAGGACGTGGACAGAACTAAGAATGAGTTAGAAAAGAGAGAAACTGTTATTATATCAGGTGAAATGCATTCCAGAAATACAATTTTATGGTAAGTGGCTTGAAAACAGGGTCTAGGACAAAAGATAATCGTTTGGAAGAACGAATGTGTCTAAAGGGAGAGGTTTACAATGAAGATAGGGTGGGTGGAGATGCAGAAGGGGGACGATAACATTGAAATTCAATACATTAAATGTATTACATTAGCAAGTGGGGAGCGAGATATAGAAAGAAAGGGAGAGAAAGGGAACCTATATTATACAAGCATTGGTTTTTAATAGGTTCCTTACATTCTACTTAATCTATAGTATAAATTGAGAATCATTGATATACTACAATTATATTATATAATTTTATATATTTTATGTATGTTTATATTTTCTGTAAAATGTGTAACAAATGAAACTTGGACTTGAAACTTGAGGTGCAGGTTAAAAGAGAAAGATGGAATGGTTGATGGAAGACGGAGAAAATTGAGAGTTGACTAATAATGTAGAACGGGTGAGATGCTGATCATCCGAACATGGAGTTTAGACAGATAGACATACTTATACATACAGACAAAACGAGAGAAGGGAGACAAACAAGAGATGTAGAAAGAGGGGGATGAAAGCACTCTTGATAAAGGTCACGATCACGTGACAGGGCAATGTAGAGGGTTTGCTAGGGGGGCTCGACAGTACACAAACCATGAGCACGAAACACTACTCATGTCAAGCACAAGTACATGCGCCTAAGTTCATTCCATTCAACGCCCGGTGGACCTAGTTAGCATCCTCCTCCACATTTGATCTGCAGAATACCGATGGAAAATCGCTTCCCCACCGATCAATAACTCATCTCGAGTTAATGTACTTCAAGGTGAAAAAATACATCAGGTTAGAGACTTGGTACATGGTAGATGAAATGAAGGCATACCATAAAAGCGCAATCATCCCTCAGGTGTAAAATGCATGATGACAGTTTGAGCGACGCACACGCGCGTAATTTGCCTCTCATCGAGATACCAATATAAACGCGATGGGAATTGATTAAACACATGGATACTTGATAATATGCATTGGGACTTTGTCTGGTAGATTAATAGATGTTTGTTCCTCGTCATGCTTCCTGATGAAATGATCCATCCATTGATTAAAACAGGCATCCCCCAAAGAAAGTTTAGTACCAACATATTTGTTTATAAAGTTCATGCACTGTTATTCCACTTGCCGTTTTGTTTTTGTGTTGGTATTATGAACTTCACCGTGAGTCTATTCTAGCGGGAACAAAATGACAGGGGCAATCGATCATCACCTCTTCCTCTTTATTCAATGATTCGACGAACAATTACAAGTCATGATCATGGTGATGTTATTACCTTTCCAATAACTACACCCCACACAATGTACCTCGCTCCACACGGTTAATGATCCTTCCCAATTTCCGGGCTACTTTAACTTATTGTCCCCGGGTAATTAATTGTCCCGACTATAATCATTGTCAACTAAAACTGCACCATATAGGAATACGATTCTTTTTTTAGAGAGAGAGCTCATGTCACGCTGTCTGCTACCACGTTTTAAGGTTACTCTGTTCATATTCCCGCCAAATCTCTTTTTATGTGTTCGCCCATGCACATGAAGTAAACAAAGTCATCCACCATGTATTACTCTGGTTGCCATGGCCGTTGATTGTTTAACAGCGTCGTCATGGAGGCCTTGTCAACCGGGAATTCCGAGGGGGTCAAAGGGCAGGCACACACGAAGAGCAAGAGCGCCAAGTTTGAGAACTTACAAAAAGCGACCATAAACACGTGAACGTGTTTTGGTGGTAGCTTGTCGTCTGCTCTTGAATTCACAGCTTAGTTCACGTACACAAAATGTACAATATAAGTACTGGCCCGACTATTGTTTTTAGCTAACACTTCTGCTACCACCTAGACATAAATTATGAAACAATCATCTCCGGGAGAAAATATCACCGTCAGAATTGATTTGCTTTATTAGCGTCATAAGGAGCAAGTTCACATGATATAGTAATCGCATTTCTGCCCTAAGGTTAGAAACTTTATTTTGCAAGACTCGGCAAACGTCAAGACCGAAACAATTTTTGGTCGAATTCAATTAATTGAATAGCTCTTTATGCTTCTTAATAGTGTAAACGCTTCAGGTCAATAACTGGATGAGTGGGTTGAATATGATTGAGTTGAGGACAGAGGCTCAAAGGCATAACACCGGGAAGTTTTAATCTTTTGTCTGCAGGGGATTACTTTACTTATCCTGAATATAAATTAAGTTCCATAGGTTTTCTATTTCCTCTTCATCAAAAGACATTCTGCCTACGGTAACAATGTATCAGCAGTTCAATGCAAAAGCGAGATAATGATGAAATGGAGAAGAAAAAATATGGATGTCTATTAATATACACAATGTACAAGGACATGCAAATGTCTACATTTTCAACTTCCAAAATCTATAAAGTTTTATCCTATTTGATAAATGTGAATCCAATGCCAGGTGATCACTCATCACCGAGAGAATTTGTTGTGGTTGTTGAAATGTCGTAGTTAAGTGTAGACGCGTCGTGGTCGACACTTGCATAGGGTTGCGAATGTCGTGGGTTCGAACCTCGTTAAGTTACGGCCAGGAACGTGCTGTGGCATTCATGTACAAGAATGTGCCACTTTCGACCCAGGTGTGGCGAGTGGGTATCCGGAGGGATTTTTTCCTTGAATGCACTGTGCTGGATAATGGTTGCCGGTGCTTAAAGCCGGGAAAATGATTCCCAGAGCCTTGTATTATTAAGTATATGCATTACACAAGTTATTATGTTCTTTGGAACACATTGTACTTGATTTTTTTAAAGTAACTTCTCTATAGTTCAAAATAATAGTCCTTAAAATAATAAAGAAATAATTATTTCGTCTTCTTCAACAGTTTGAATGTTTTCTGTACGACTGAACGTACAGAAAACGTGTCATTATATTAATTTGACTACATATATATATATATATATATATATATATATATATATAGCATAATGATTATGATGAAGGAAGATATTATCTCCTCCTAAATATGTATGGGATGTGTAAAAGATATCAATGTGGATTCAATATCAAACATTTCGATTTCGACTCGATCATCCTATTACACGTGTAATTCTAACCCATTTTGTCCTTTCAGTGTTGGATAAAATCACAATTTGAAGACAAAATTGAGATGAAATAATCAAAGTTGATGAGTGTTTAATCTTTTTTCCCAACAATATTGCGTATGTTCTCACTTTTACTCATGAATACCACATGAGAGGTGGAATATAGTTCGTTTAATGTGACGTGACTCGTGAGCCAACGCGATCAATTTATTGTCGACTGAGGAGTATCATGAAAGTCACATTATTATCGCACTGTGTTATTAAATTTTAATTGCGTCGGTATACCAAGATTAGCTGAAAGCCTCGTTACGCCAGCAGATCGGTTCTTTTCAAGTGAAAGGTTATCAGTAATGGGCTCATCAAAGTTGCAGTTCATTTTTTATTGGACGGTATTGCATCAATACAAAATTGTCACTACAGCCAAATGCAAACTGAAGATAATTATGTTTATTTGAAGAATAATTGAAACTTCCGTACTTCAAATTTAGAAGGGAAATTCAGCAGATCCCACGAATTTGTGAAAATAAATGAATTAATGAAATTCTGTTACAGTAATTGTGGCTCATTGTCAGCGCATGGCGATACAAAACAAGAGTTTTTTGTGTGTGTCTGTTGCAACATTGCAAGTAATAATAATAATAATCAATTATAGGCATTTATCTAAAAAGTTCTATTCCGAGGCGCATTAATTATTACTCCGGCTTCACCCTAGCTGCCATTACAGCGCTCTAGCATTTCAAGGAATTAATTCCTGCCAGGTACCCATCGAGTAATCATTTAACGGTTTAGTGGAGAATGTTAATATAATTGAAAAATTAAATATCGATCCAGCCAGTCTCATGATGTTGTGCCGTTATTTGTTGCAGCATTTTGAAGTTCAGAGCAGACGGTGATAATTAATAAGAACCAAGGCTTACCTAATGAAGTTGTGCTTGTGTTTGTTGTAGCTTCCCAGAGCGATGAGAACTCCCTGGCCCAGCGAATAGGAGAAGAAGATCTGCGTAGCGGCATCCATCCATACCTAACAAAAATACAAGGTGCATTCAAATTAGAATTAATTATTGTATACTGATGAATACATTTGAAAAATTATTCATGAAATTGTATCATGGAACATAAAATGATCATGAAGTTGATCGCAAAGACATTCGAGAAATCAACTCGAGGGCAATTCCGAAGGTATATGCCATAAGCCTCGGTCACAAATGCCATTACGAATTGCTACGAACGCCGTACGAACGATTTTCAGACAATGGAAATTCGGGAAGACAATGGAAAAACAGGGAGATTCGTACGGAATTATCGTTCGTACGAATTTTTGTGACCGTAGCATTAGGTTGATTTTTCGAAATTCTTTCTGATCGTGTTCATGTATCTAATATAAGTGAAGCATTCATAAAATCTAGAAAATGAATACAGTGACTCAGTAACTAAATAATGTTTATGCCAATAGTTACATTTTCCTCACACACCTCTAATAAATTCTTTAAACAAAATAATTAATTCCAACGGAGCGGATGTACTTATTATTTTCGCTAAACAGGGTTATTTTTTAAATCTAGGAAAGAGGAAGGATGATTGCACAAAGACTCTTTGCTTTCGTTTGTGTGACTCTCATCGTAATACACTGCCATATCTATTATCTAGACCCATGAAATAGTTTGCTTTGCCCAAGATTGTTTATTTGTCTGAAACTCGGATCGCGAGACCAAAACTGATGCGCGCCGGTAAAACCATTCAATTCCAATCAAATACGTCACATAAATATACGGGGCTAATTCAGATGCACGACCTTAATATTACGTTGAAAGAAAAGGAATGCGATGAAAAGGGCCAAGTTTAATATCATCATTCGGAAGTGAAAAGATGGAGGGGAGAGCTAGGCGCCACCGCTTGGTGACCCCTTGGTTTATATGCACATCTAGGTAATTCCATCAATCCGTACTTTATTTCAGAATGACAAAAACATAACAGCAATGGGATTTAAAGCGACCTTTCATCGGTATGCAGTTTGCAGGTTTCAGGTTTTGTTACAATTCAAATATTCTATTAGCATGATTATGGTTTGGAAGGCAGAAACATAGCTGTTCTGCAAAACACGGGAAACACGGTGTAGAGCTAGCTAGAGCTTATCTTTTCATATTTCATCTTTTTAACAACTCGTTCTTTTCCCGCTCTTATTGAGACAATAGGGGGATGATCTTCGACATCAGATGCGTGAAGATGATCAAGTAATAGGGACATATTCTTCATTTATCGTCGAGAATAGGGAATTATAAACAACTTAATTACTGGTGCAATAGTGCAAAGATGGCGACTTATCATCGTGTCATCTCCTTGCAACGTCCTTTTCACCTTCTCACGTACCGTCCTCCACACCCTTTTATCTCTTTCTCACTCTAAACTCTCAAGTTTTACACTCATATTAAAAAAGACCGACGAGTGACAAAATGTTCAAGATGATAGATTTTCTATGAGAGTGGGGGGGGGGGGGGAGCTGATCCATGCCCAGAGGCGCTACACCTTATATGCTTTGAATAACTCTTAAACATGACAACACCACCTATAGGAATCAATAAATGTATTGTCCACAGAAAAGCTATGTAATCCTCGATCCCACTTCCAGAGCATACAGCTTCTCTGTAGTGAAGCGATACAAGTTTGATAATACAGATGCTCATTATTATATTCATCTTTTTTTCTTCTTCAGTATATGACCTTTATATTATTGGCGGGGTATACATGTTGAATGAGCATACAGATTGACCTCTCTAACAATTTAGGCCAAGATACTCAAAACGGCCTCTGCATGTATTCGGAAGTTCGATATGATCCCAAAAGGGGTCCCAAGAAATTTCTCATGTACTACTCAAGACATATCATTCGTCAGCCATCATGCCATTAAAATGAAAGATAAAAAATAAATACTAAATAATAAACACAAAATTAATATCATCATCATTAAGTCAACCTAAATTTCATTAAAATGTTGTATATTTTCACTGCCGGAGACTCATATAACGTCAACAACAAAAATCTACCAGCGATTCGACTTGGTTTAACAGATTTGTGTAGGGTTTCCTAGTTATATTCTCTTTTAGCTTAGAAATAGTTAAGGGCGTCAATCTGAGGATGTGGGGGCGCCCCTGGAATTGCTACACTAGTATCCAAGTCTTGGCACAGACTTGCTACATTATAACGCATTGGTACCAAACGTATTTCATAATAGATGGAAGGAAAACTAGATGATTCGTCATCCTGGGAAAAGTAGATTGGTATGCATGAACATGGACAGGTTGGAGTGTGCTTCAACGCGAACGGTGAATGCTCGAAAAACGTTTGATGTTGACTCTGAATATTGAATACCAATTATCTACGACGTGTGACGCATGAAACGTCATGTAACGTTTCCATAATATCCGACCGACATCACCAATGTGAAAAAGAATGCATGCGCATCGTTTGAAACACATATTTTTGCTGCAGCATCAGTAATTGCTTCATGGAATATAGAACAAGAGTAAAATCGTACATCTATTTGCACTGAAAAGCTACAATTTGCAACTGAAATAAACGAGCAATGATAACGCATTGCCCCATAATATATCATACTTATAAAATATAAAAAATGAAAAAATAATAGAATTCAGAGATTTACTGTAGCCATGTCCTTTTCTTATCATTCACATTTGTAGCAAGTTCAAGTTCATTATGATCTCGAAGTGGTTTTCGAAATATAGGCCTATGTCGCGATTATTATGCGTGGAAATTGTATATGACCTTTGACTTTGACACCAAAAATCGCAGAAAAAAACTGAAATAATCCAATCAATAAAATCTTTAGATATTTACAGAGGTGAGTGGTACTACCACATAGAAAATATCAATGAATAAAGACATACTAGACTTAAAGCTTCCACTCTTGCACTCATCATAGTAAATCGCACGAATGGACAGAAAACCGAAATCGGAAAATATAAACGGAAACTAAAGAAATAGACCGCGAAAATTCGGGCAATGGATAGGGTAAATTTTAGAGAAGGTTCGATGAACTTCAATACTAAAAATAAACGCCAGAATCAGGAAAAGACTGGGAGAAATCATGAAGAAGCTGGGTCGGTCGTAGTAGCTTTTAGCCGACCTCTCGCTGGGTCGAGCAAGATGGTCGACCGCTGTGCAGAGTGGCACGAATGGGACGGGTTCTTGTCAAAATGCTATTAAAATCCACTCCATCATCACTCAATGGGATGCGGTACACGTCATCAATTTGCAATCGGACAAAACAACAAAGAAGAAGTAGAAGAAGAAAAAAACATCCTCGAATGAGGAGAGAATAGCTTGAGGGATAAGGATGGAGAGATCTCATTTGGAGGTTGACATGACAAACTGCGGGTGGCTAGCTTGCCTCACATGTCTTGAAACAATATTGCGTTCATTTTCATGTGGATTTGAGGCGTCGATGCGAGGACTATGTCTTGAGTAGAGAACACAAACTTGCTTCACGATATCATGCTCGAGTTATTTCTATGGGAGAAGACTATTGAGCTTCCATCGACATCCTCCTTCCCCTTCCCTTTTTATGTATATACCCTGTATGATACTGTTGAAACGATTTCGTTAAAATTATTATCACAATATGTTCATCAACTCTAGACCATGACGCACATATCGTTACAGAATCACGATGCATGAAAGCATGATGGGAATTGTAGGTGCAACATCATTTTCAACTCATTTCAATATCGAATGTCCATCAAAATTCGAACATTGGCCATCCTACTACCGTGTCGAAGCCACCGGTGTCATCATTTTCGAACACGCAGACAAATACTTATCTAAATTCCACACATTAATGTAGATCTAGAATCGGTAGACACGAGATGCTGAATGGATGTGACAAAGCAGGCATTATGGATCATAATTTGAAACGGTTCATCAGCGGAGGGAAGAGGTTTTGGTCGAGCTCTCTCCCCGGCTCAGTTACAGTTCGTCGAACGGACGGTTTTAGATAGAGACATCTGCCTCGAAATAACATTATACTGGAGCAATTGCACAGCACTTAACCTTCAGAATGGAGATTATGTCTTCTTCTTAATCAATAACAAAGAGATTCGCGCCGTACTTTACCACTGAATAAGCAAACACGGTTTGCCTGCCTCTCACCACATGTTTTCCATTCTTGCAGGAAATTGAAATGTACTATTTTTGTTATGCTGCCCTGAAAGCCTTTCCTTTTCATTCTAAAGTAGGAACCAGAGGTCTTTCTCTCTCTCTACTCTCTCTATCCACCCATCCCTTACTCGCTCTTATACCTTCCATATCTGCAAATCTCTGCACTTCTCCCTCTCTCTCCCGTCTCCATCTTCATCTCCCAACTGGTAAAAGATGGAATAACGTTTGATTATGAGATAAAATTGACATGTTGTACTTAAAGGTAAAGACCAGTTATGGTCATGCGATTGCATTGTGAAAGAAACGTTGTGGAATCGATCAGAAAAGGTTGATCATCTAGCATCTAGCATCTGCAAGGTTCTGGAATCATCAAAATGATAAGAAATTTGGCCCATTCTTCGTAAAGTTACAAGCACTATACCCAGAAAGATGTATATGGGACTACCCTATATCTCTCACAGACGGTGAGAGAAATAAATTTACCAAATATATGAATTAGTAGGCGGTTTCCCGGCAAATTTTTTATCATCAAAAAAATATTCTTTCACATGATTGGTAATGAGAGCTTCCATTTCATTTTTTGAAATTGGGGCGTTTCCAATACTGGTCTTTACCTTTAAATCATTCAATAGGCCTCTATAAAGAAAGAGAGAATGTGAGAGAGAGAGGGGTGTGTGTGTGTGAGAGAGATATAAATAGATAGATAGAGAGAGAGAGAGAGAGAGAGAGAGAGAGGGAGAAAGCGTGAATGTGATGTGTTCATTTGGAGTACTTGTCATGTAAGTTTGGCACGTTGTCGGAAAACGATGTCAAATTAGCTTCCGAAAACCTGCCAATATTTCCTGCCAC